TTAATTCACCCCAATGTACACACTTGCACCATCCTGTGGTCGCACGTGTATCACGACTTCTTCTTCTTTTTTCAAAAGATATTTTATTATTGTTGCGTGAAGCGATGGTTCTTTTTTAAAGCATTTATAAGTTATTTTTAATATGTTTTATAAAGATTAAACAAAAATCTTAAATTTTATTAATTCTAATTTAAAATTTAATAACTTTTTAATTTTATTCCTATTTGACATATGTTATACCTCATCTAAATAGAATCAACATAATAATAAATGAAGGGTAAAATTGTATATCCATACAAAAAATTTCTCTTAGTACCCTATAAATAAGATAAAAAAATATCTTTTTTCTCCCCTTTATAAATAATATTAAAGGAGTACTATTTATGCGCGTGTTTTAAATTTGGATCTAGGAGCAGGACCAGTCTATTTAATATCATAAATTTGTGATTTTGATTGGGTTAAATATGAGATAATTGTTGGGAGCATGGGGAATTGTTCAGGAACTTTTAAGCCGATCATAAATATAATTTGGCTCCTTTTTTTTCCTTATTGTAATAATCTTTTTTCTAAAATAAAATGATTTTAAATACTGACTTATTAGTAAAAAAAGCCGTCTCCAACTTTTAAATCACCCAAGCAAAGCGAGAGTTACTTGAAACTCCAAGTGGAGGATTAAAAATTTTTCCCATCGGAAATTAGAATGGTTTTGCTTGGAAATAGAAAATTCATCAGCCACGTTTCGTCAATTTGCAAATTCTTCTTTGGCCAACCAAAGGAATGAAAGTTGTTGATTTAAAAAAATTTTTTTTTCCCAATACATCATTCTGCCTCTTTTTTTTAAATTTTCGATCGGGACACATCATTCAGCCTCGGGTATAGCTTAAAGCCCCACCATGCTCCCAACAACCTCGTTGTGTTTAATTAACTTGACTAAGATTGTTTTTTTATACTAAACAAACTTAGACTCGTCATTAGCCTTGAGTGTTGGGTCCGGCAAACTGAGTTCGTTTCCGTAGCAAAATATGCATTTGAAAAGGTGTTGCACTTGGCGGAACACTTCCCTAACATTTGAAATTATATGATAAATCCTCCGACATCTTATGTTCTTGTATATAATTTTTATATTACTAAAGTTCACGTGGTTATTTGTTAGGAGAGGTGCTGTGTCCATTTTTTTTTAAAAATTTTGAAGGGACTGATTTGAGTTTTGACTAATTTAAGGATATTTAATTATTTTTTCCTAAATATTACTTCATTACATCCTTACTACTTTTTATTCTCATTTTACCCTATTAACTGAGATTTAGAGTTGGAAAAAATTAAATCACATCACTTATAGAGAGGAGTAAAGTGAAAGAAATTATTAGTTTATGACAAATTTAATAACCTAGCTATACTTTTTTATATATTAAAATTAGTTCAAAATTAATATTTCTTGGAGGCTGTTTTGTTGAGGATGAGGGGCAGCTCCTACGCCAAATGGCGGGAGTTCTTATTATTCTAATTAGACATGCGCGTTTTGTTGAGACGAATTATTTTACTATTATTAAAAAAAAGATGGGGGCATTGTTTTGAGATGGGAAGAAAATATCCTGGTCACCAAAAAAAAAAGAAAAAGAAAATAAAAGGTAATCGACTCAAAGGATGGAATTTTAAATTTTTAAAGGGGGAAAACAGAAAGATGCAGGGAATATCACTAAGTTAGTGGGTGCTTTGACCCAAAAAAAAAAAAGGTTAGTGGGTGCTTCGCTAAAAACTGGGGGAAATGGTAAAATAAAAATCTTGAAAAGAGGACCTGACAGTGTCACGTGACCCCGGAAAAGGATTTTTTTTTTTTTGTGGGGGAGGGGGAGATATTTTGGGGGCTCATGTAAAATCGTGACGGTACAGAAATTGGGGGACGATCAAGATCAAACTACCCGGGAATGGGATTCCTACATTTTGACAAAAAACTATTAATAAAAAGTTACAATTGGATATGGTTGGAGCCACGACGCCCACTCACAGGCCACGGATGACAGCATCTGGGCCACGTAAAAATATTCTTCTTTGATATTCCTCCCATTCTTCTTTTTTTTTATGAAACATCAGGGTATCTACTGGTGGACCCAGTGACTAATCCCTTGGTTGGCTTGTAGGCACCTCGATGGGTGGGACAGTTGGTCCAGGGTTTTAAAGCTTTTCCATGTCCAAGGCAAGGATCGAACCCTTGACACTTGGTTAAGGGAGGATGAGCCCCCATCGCTCAACCACACCCCCTGGGTTATAAAACTCGTTTTATAATATAAATTATACTGTAAAATAAGTTTTATATTTAAAACCAAAAAAGTACTATTGTTTTATCTAAATACTACTTTTACTCCGAATTATAAAACCTTATTTATAATTTATAAGTAACATCACATAATTAGAACTGAAGGTAGTATAGTACTTTAGGTGATGCTTTGTTTTGAAATAGAATTTCAGCTCTAGGAATTAAAAAAAAAAATCCATATGAATTAAATGTAAAATAAATATTTTTCCATCATGGAATACATCATAATTCTTTTTTTAAATATTTAGACCTTAGTTATATCGCTCGTAAGTCATTAAAAAAATTTCATGTTTTATATTTCACAAAAAAAAATTGTTTTATATTTCACATTGATAATTTAAAGTGTACCTTAACAATAAACACGTTGATGCCTTGCTTGGGCTTGCAAGGTTTAGATTGTCTTTACACTTCTCCCTATCATTTTTTTAATTTTTATTTTAAATTATCTCATTTACGAACTTGTGTGGATTTGAAGCACTTTAATAAAATTTCAATTGCTCGTATTCATTTATTAATGTTAATTTCTTAAGATATTAATTTTGCAATATTGTAATTTTATATAACACAGTTACACAGCAGATAATGGGAAGGGAAAAGAAAATAGAGGGGAAAGGAAAGTAATCAAAAACCGTCCTTCGCGAATGCGTGAAGCCTGTGGATATATCACGCCGACAGCCCGGTTAATTCCCTGTTTGATTGGGTTATTCATAATTTTTGACCGGCAACTGGGTTATTCATAATTTACTAAAAAACTCATCTTTCATGACAATGATTATATTGCACGAGACGATGTTGATGTGGAAATATAAAAGGATATTCTCAAGAGAGGTTTCTAATTGTTTTAAAGTGAGAACACGCCGAATTATTTATTTTATTTTAGGGTTAATATAATTTTTTCTTCATCAAATTTATCTTCACTTTAATTTTAATTTCTTAAATTTTAAATCATAAGCTTTAGTTCCTGAAAGGGTAAAATAATCAATTTTTTTATTAAATTATTGAAATTAATAATTTAAATAAAAATTTAAGACACCAGAACTTATAATTTAAAAATTAAGAAATCAAAATCAAAACTAAAATAAAAATAAATTTAAAAGATTAAAGAATATATTAGTAATTTATTTTATTGCTCTTGGGCTAGTCTGGTCCTGGTCTATTATTAGAATCTAGAAAATAGGACACTGATAGATGGGCAGATAAATATGTCCTGGAGCATGGTGAATTCCTCCTCTTATTTTTCAAACAGGGGTGAAATCAAATAATTGAACGATTTAATTGAGAAAATTGTTTGCACCGCGTTATGGGTCACCGGAAAAATCAAGCATCGCCTAAAGAATTTGATTCACGTTTTATTCAATAGAAACATTTATAGTTGGTAAATATCAAATCGCGTGGAATTATTTAAATTTCCAAATAAACCAGTAGCCGGAGCAAATGCATCAAACTAATTTTCTACCTTCAATAGTCTTCAGTGATGAACACCTTGAAGTTTGAAGCCTGCACAAGTGTACATTTAGTTTTTTTTCTCTCACGTATTATTTTCTTTTCTATTATAAGTCATTTGTATTTTAAACCCGTAAATCAATAAACACATTAAATTAACCAGTTTTTTTTTTTCATATTTACTCTTATTAAAAGTTGAGAGAGAGAGGGGAGGAGGGAATAGATTGCATAGAAAATGAAAAGTTAAGAGAGAGAGATTAATTAATTTTTTATTAAATTAATAGGGATAGAATTAGAAAATATCATTGTGACTTATATTTTGAAACAAACTTTTAAGGTACAAGTAACCTATAATAAGAAACTGAGTGGCATAGTTGCTGTTAATAGTCAATGTTCCCCCTTAATTTATTCCGTTTCCTGAATTTTCTCAAAGAAGTTATGATCATTGCCACATATTTTTCTTTCTTTGATTCGTTTCATAAAATAGCGTAATATTCATTTCGTGTTGATCTAAACAGCTAAATATTTCTCTTGGTCCTTAATATAAAACTTATTTAATTAATTTGATTAGATTAAAAAAGTTAAGTAAGTTAATTAATTATATGAAATGTAACATACTTTTCTTAAAATATCATAATCATTTCTCTCAATACCCCATCTTCCTCTTTTACTTGATTATGGTTGAGGGAGTATCTATAGGAGTAATTTAGAAAAAATTGATAAATATAATAAATGAATCTTATATTTAGGACAAAAATCAACTCAACAATTAGATCCTATATTAAGGACCGGAAGAGTTCATCGTACATAGGGTTTTTAAAATTGTAAAATAAATATTCCTCCAACTCTAAATATAAGATCTATTTGATAGTGTAAATTACATAATGAAATAGGTTTTATATTTAAAACAGAAAAAGTACAAAATAAAAAATATACAGTTATCACAAAATGTTCGTTAATGAGCGGACTGCTTTAAAAATATCTAAAAAAATGGGATGATAAAAGAAAACCGAGAAGCACAGTAGCTAAGGGTATTATGAAAAGAATTTTATATTTTTCATACGCATAGGCATCAATCGGAAGAAGGGAATAAAAAAAAAAAAAAAAGGTCGAAACGCACTAGTTGAGGCTTGAAATCCAGTGGGGCCAGCACTATTGGACGGAAAGATCAAGTTGAGGAGGGAAACAAAAGCTTAAATACACTGGCGCCTCCCTCGATCTATTTCACAAACGCAGACCCAGGGGCGGCTGGCTGGTCATTCCCTAACTCACTCTGTTCAGACGCAGGGAGGAGACACCTGTTGCAGAGCTCTCGGCTTCTTCTTCCGCTTCAGGTCATCTTCTCTCATCTCTATTCTCTGCTCTTTTTCTGCCCTCATTTCACATTTTTTGCTTTCACTTTCTCGCTCGAGTGCTCTCGAATCCCGCATCCCACGCTAATTTTCGCCACATGATCTATGCTAGATCCACTTTTATTTTCCCTTTATGCTTCAAAGTTTTCCTGTAGATTTTGGATCTCTCCAGTGTTTGTCTTCCCTTCTTCGTTTTTATCATATTTATTAGGAGGTACGAATTACGAATTATATCCTAGAATCAAGGCGTTCAAGTTTCGCAGGTGGCTTTTGTAAATCTCTGATTCAAATGTTGTCTCTATTTGATTCGTTCCTGCCTAATGTGGATATGGTTGGTCTCTTTCTGCTTTGCTCTTCACCATTACTCCCGGCTGATAATGTTGAGCGTTCGTGACCATAGGAGTTTAGGGCTCGGATCTAGCGAGAGGAAAGCCCTCCTTCGCTGGGTTGTTTGTCGTGTATCTGGGATCTGAATGGGGGTCACATCACTCACATGACCCTCCTAGTATTTATGGTCCCACTGCACGGCTTTCATGGAATCTTCAATACTACCTTTATACCAGGACTCCTTCCCACAATTAACTGAAACGCAAGCCGACTAGCGTAGCGGCCGTTTGTCTGCTGGATTTCAGTAACTATTATTATCACTAATGCGATGACAAACCTAAATCCTCACGGACAGCTTTGGTTGACCAGTGGGTGTGCTACTATTATCTAGCTTGCTCTTACATCGTAATTTGATCTTTAGGAGATATACATATATATATATAGAGAGAGAGAGAGAGAGAGAGAGAGTTGCTTGATTTTTAAAACTCAATACTATTTCTTAAAATTTTCTTTTCGCTCTATTAGTTTTTTTTTTTTTTTTTTCATTTCATCAGCTTAAACCTGATACATATTCGAGTTATCATTCTTTAAGTGAATTGATTGACAATGAAATTATTCATAGAAATTTAAAAATAGAAATTTAATATTAAATTTTTAAAATAAGATTCAAAGTGTTTCAAGCAACTCAGTTTCTCCAAAATTAATTTCATAAGATAACTAATTTTTAGATCTAGCATCAACTATGTGAAATTTAAGTCATCCAAATATTGAGGAAAGATATTTACGCGGAGAGATGTGCGGACATAATTAGTGGCTCTCGTTTTATTCTTTGACTTTAGATTTTGCAAATTGCTATTTTGCCGCTGGTAAAAAAAAAGAAAAGAAAAAGAAAAAGGAAAAGGTTATTTTGCCAATAGCTCACCATATTGTCTGTCCAAGTTGCGTGGGGTTGGAAAGATGTTCTATCCTTGGGGTGCAGGGTCTTCCAGCACATTATTCGGCTTGCGTAATAACAGGGCTGGTTAGAATGTGCTGGCCCAAAAAAGAAAAAGTTTGCTAAGAGTGTGACACGAGGAGGCCCAAATCATTGAATCTCGTGGTCTGGGTAATTGATGGGTACTTATCACCGGCCCGCGTTGACGTGGGCCTGCTGAACTGTCATGCGCTTGACCAGATCCAACTTCTGGGAGCGAATTATTTTGATAAATTCTCAACCATTCACTGATTGATGGACATAGTAAGTCTATTTATAAGATAAATAGCCCTTCGATTTGGTCTCCCGGCAGTAATTTTGGCATCCTTCTTTTGTTTATTTCTGTCTCGGATCCAAAACTTGGTGCCCGCATTCCGAATCATCATCAATTTTGTGAGTTTTAGTGGTCATAGACTCAGCTGCGGGTTCCACTATTGGCTCCCCCTGCAATCAGAATCTTTATTGGCTAGGGATAAAAGCCTTCAAGATGTCCCTTTTATAGCTGCTTTGTTTAGGTTTGTACTTCAACAACATGAATTTAAGTTTGGCAGGATGGCAGGTGTTTTATGGATGCAAGCTTTTAATAAGCGAGCTGTCTATGCTGCGTCCTAAAATGGGAAGTTGCCGTTCTTTACCTGCTAATTGTTTTCATTCAGGGGAAAAAGGTTGGATCTGTTTTTGGCGATCTAGCGTTTAATTGAGACGGAGAATATCTATCATATGTGGTTGGCGTTAATGCGCATGGGTTGTTCTTTTTCTTTCTAAACCACATGGATGTCTGGACATGCAAGATATTAGAGAAAAGTATTTGTTTATGGCATGTTCACGTTCATGCCGCGTTAAAATTATACACGATTAGGCATTGGCGTTACAATTTTATTTGAAAAGAAAATTAAAATGGCACATTGTTAGGCATTATACTGATGATTGGGAGGATTATTCTGACCAATTCAAATTTTTACAGACACAGTGGGTGAAAATGGGAGCCGGTGGCCGAACCTCCGTTCCGCCTGCCCAGAGGAAGTCAGAGACTGAGACTGTGAAGAGAAGCCCGGTGGAGCAGCCCCCGTTCACAGTGGGCCAGATCAAGAAAGCCGTGCCGCCTCACTGTTTCAAGCGTTCTGTGTTGCGCTCATTCTCCTATGTCTTTTACGACCTCACCATAGCCTTCAGCCTCTATTATGTGGCCACCCATTACTTCGATCTCCTCTCACGGCCTCTCTCTTTTTTGGCCTGGCCAATCTACTGGGCTCTTCAGGGCTGCGTCCTCACCGGCGTCTGGGTGATCGCTCACGAGTGCGGCCACCACGCCTTCAGCGACTACCAATGGCTTGATGACACCGTTGGCTTCGTTCTCCACTCCTCCCTTCTCGTCCCCTACTTCTCATGGAAATACAGCCATCGCCGTCATCACTCTAATACCGGATCTCTTGAGCGCGATGAAGTTTTCGTGCCAAAGAAAAGGTCTGGTCTTAGCTGGTACTCCAAATACCTTAACAATCCACCAGGCCGAGTCCTAACCCTTACCGTTACCCTCACTCTTGGCTGGCCTCTCTACCTAGCCTTTAACGTTTCAGGAAGGCCTTATGCTCGTTTTGCTTGCCACTATGACCCACACGGTCCCATCTACTCAGATCGCGAGCGGCTTCAAATATACTTATCAGATGCAGGGGTGCTCGCTGTGTGCTATGGGCTTTACCGTCTTGTCGTGGCGAATGGACTTGCCTGGGTTGTGTGTGTTTATGGAGTGCCATTGTTGGTGGTCAACGGATTTTTGGTGTTGATCACTTATTTGCAGCATACTCACCCTGCATTGCCACACTATGATTCCTCCGAGTGGGACTGGTTGAAGGGAGCTTTAGCCACGGTAGACAGAGATTATGGTATACTGAACAAGGTTTTCCATAACATTACAGACACCCATGTGGCGCATCATCTGTTCTCCACGATGCCTCATTATCACGCGATGGAGGCTACAAAGGCAATCAAGCCAGTTTTGGGAGAGTATTATCAGTTTGATGGAACGCCTGTGTACAAGGCAATGTGGAGGGAGGCGAAGGAATGTATTTACGTTGAGCCAGATGAAAGTGCTGCGACTAAAGGTGTATTCTGGTACAAGAACAAGTTCTGATTTGATTAGGAAGCTTTCCTTTCCCGAGAATTTAGGCTATGTTTCGTCTCCAATTGGAACTGTGCAACTGTGTAACCTTAGATTTGCCTTTGAATAATTTTACTGTTTCATAGATGTAGGAAGAAGACATGGCTCGTCTCCGTGGTCTTGGCCTGTGTTCTTAATTTGCCTGATCTCACAAATTTGTGCCAATTGGTCCATCCGATGAACCCAAGTCTCATACGTTATTTAAGATAGTTGCTTATTTTCATTTCGTATGCTAAACGTCTCGGGCTTGACTCGTATCACTGGAATCATGCTTTCTTCGGCTCTGGAGCAAGATAATACGATGCAATTTTCTTTCTTCGTCGGCGTGAGAAGGTAGATGATGGTTATGTAATTATCAGCAATCTGATTGGATCGGAATACATTTTTGAAATAAAATTTCAAGTACTCTAGAAGTTTAACCATTAAAAGTTCCACAATTGAAAACAATGCATGCCAGTCTTACCAAGTTAATCTCTAGTTATCTTAGGGCGTATTTTTGAAACAAGATTTCTAGTTACCCTACAAAATTAACAAGTCAAGCTTGCGCAATTATGCAATTTGACAACAGCGTGTATATTTTAGTAAATGACGACCTGAATGAAAGTTGCTTGTTAAGATTCGAGTACCATTTTATCAATACCTGAGCAGGTAGTTATAATTTACAGAACAGCATTTTGTATTTGCGTCAGGGATATTTTAGATTTTTTTCCCAAAACATGGAAACAAACTTTAGTTCTATGAGCCTGTAGGAAAAAATTGAGCTAGAAATAGTAAAATACCATTATTTTCCTTGTGGGACCACAGGGACATCCTCTGGCCAGCGTTAAATCCACAAATTACAGTACTACATGAGACAATGGGTTCGGTGTGGCGATGGGTTTTAGTTTTTCATAGCATCAGGAAAATCCAAACCCACTTGGTACCATTTATTAGCTTCGCTTAATTTGTAGGCGTGCCCTGTTCTGCTGAGACAAGTGTTACGCTGATGAATGATCCAATTCTTGGGGCTCACTCCCATCATCTTGGGCTAGTCCATTCTGGCTTTGTCTAATGAAACCAACCTGTCTTTGTTCCTACGTGATGGGATGGGGCCCGGCTCTCCTCCGCTGCCCTTACCGTTCACTTCCCCTCCCCTACCCAAAACCATGTCGTTTTGGGTGTTAAAATGAAAGACTGGTCACTGTCTTTTTTTTTTTTTTTTTTAAATTAACATCATTTACTTTAAAGTATTTTACGGTAACATTTAGTATTTTAAAATAATTTTTAATGTACCTGACGCTCAAAAATATTTTTCAGTACTATTTAGTATCTAGCAAGCTGTAATCTAAACTATTTTTCAGCAACACACAGTAGCTTAAACTAATTTTTAGTGTATCCAATATTCTAAACTATTTTCTTGCAGTGACACTCAATATCATAAAATTAATTTAAAATACTGTGTGCTACTAAAAAAAATTGCATGTCCAACTTGCTAGATATTAAGTACTACTGGAAAGATATTGTAAAGTACTCTTCCGGTTCTAAATATAAAACTCTTTTTTAGTATAATTTATATATTATTTTAGGACCAAAGTAGTATTATATGCAATAAAAATTATTTTAGATTACACTATAAAAGAAATCTTATATTTAGGACTAGAGTAGTATTATATGCACTAAAAATTATTTTAAAATACGGGATGCCACCGAAAATAGTTTAAAATGATGGATATTGGTTTGAGAAAAAATAGCAGTCAGCCTCTACTTTTAGGAGATTGAGTGTTACTAAAAACTACTCTTCCGATCCTTAATATAAAACCTATTTAACTAATTTATTAGATTAAGAAAGTTAGGTAAGTTATTTAATTATAAGAAATATAACATGTTTTTCCTAAACATCATATCATCTTTCTTAATATTTTTTCTCCTTTTTTTACTTGATTATGGTTGAGAGAATATCTATAAGATAATTTAGAAAAAACTGATAAATATGAAAAATATGTATTTTATTTAAGACTAAAGTCAACTCAACAATTAAGTCTTATATTAAGAATCAGAAAAGTAATTCAGAGTGCAGCTTGTTAGATATTAGATACTAGTGAACAAATTTTTTGGGTGTCAGGTGCATTAAAATTATTTTAAACCAGTAGATGTTTCTGTGAAATACCTCAAATAAAAGCTGTTGATTTTTTTTTTTTTAAAAAGGGCAGCCTTCCATTTTAAAACCCAAAACGACGTTCTGTGTAGAGGAGGCGAAGCAAAGGATAAGGGCAGAGGAGGAAAGCCGCTCCCGATTGAATGGGGGGACGGCTTTAAATGACAAGTTATTGAATATTATGATTCTTAATATAAAAATTAGTTGATTAATTTAAATAGGTTAAATAAACTGATTAGGTTAATTATTTATAAAAATATGTGTTATCTTTATTAAATTATCCTTGCTAATTAAGTATATTAGATATAAATTATCATTACTACAAGGACAACCTTGAGAAAAAAATAAATAAATATAAGAGACAAAATGGATTGGAGTCTTATATTTAGGACCAAAATAAAAATCAAACTAGCTCTTATATAAGGATCGGAAGTATTATCTCCGGTTATAATTATAAGAGCTAGTTGACTAATTTGAAGAGATTAAAAAAATAAATTTAGTTATTTGTAATACATATATGTTATCTTTTCTAAAATATTCTACTAATCAAGTATATTGTTTAGAATTACTATTATTAAAAGATTACTTTAAAAAAATATAAATATAAAAAACAAAATAAATTAAGATTTTATATTTATGATCAAAATAAAAAATAAATGAGATTTTATACTAACCGCAGAGGTAGTAGTACAAATGAGGGAATGCTGAACGCAAACTATTGGAGTGAGCGAGTGACCGTCACCACTCACCAGAGTTGCATAAAGGAAGTCAACTGTCAACCCCAAGCTTCATGAATCTAAATATGGGGACGTGGAGGCAACCCCTGGAAGATCCGAATTGGGCTCGCTTCATTTACTTCTGCGTGAATTAATGCCCCACTACGTCCACCCTCAACTCTCTCTCTCTCTCTCTCTCTATATATATATATATATTATATAGTACATGAAGCCATTAATAAATTCGCGCTGAGATGTTTGTGTGTGTGTGTTGATTCCCGATTATGAATTTATGATGGTGGACGTGTCTGCATTATATAAAGATTTTTACTTTTTGTTATGTTTATAAATAATTTATATATATATAGAGAGAGAGAGAGACTGGGTAGGACAGGAGCTAGCTTGTGACAGTAAAACGGGGAAATGAGGCGGCAATGCCATTGCATTATGTGCACCGCATATCACCCAGCTGGACCCGGAGGCGCCTAGCTACCAATGATTAAAGAACCGGACTGAACCGACGGTCGGACCGGTTGAACCGTCACCCGGACTCATTAACGGCTCGGTTTGGACCAAAAAACCGTTCACATAGTTGAGCCGGATTGGACCGGAGTTGAGTCGTTATTAAGCCGGAAACCGGAACGGTTTTTCAGAAAACCGGACGGTTTTTTTAGCCTGACTGAAAAATACTAAAAAAATTTTAAAAAATAGAAGAAAAAAAAAAAATTGATCCCCTTAAATATCCAATATATTTTTAGACTATTTATAACCATATAGTATTTTTCATTGAAAATTTCATATATTGTGGTGTTAAAATCGTGAGTCGCTAGTCTTTTTATTTCGATATTTGGTTTATCTTTTAAAAAAATATTTTGATTTGAATGAATTGATATTTGTAATATCATTAAATATTTTAAACATACATAAATTTAAATATACAAGGTTTTAGTCCATTTTCAATGATTTCATTATAATTTTAGATTATTTAAATGCATTCTAAATTATTTAATAATTTGATATTTTTCATATATACTAATTATATGTATATTATATAAAGATTTTTACTTTTTGTTATGTTTATAAATAATTTATATATATATAGAGAGAGAGAGAGACTGGGTAGGACAGGAGCTAGCTTGTGACAGTAAACGGGGAAATGAGGCGGCAATGCCATTGCATTATGTGCACCGCATATCACCCAGCTGGACCCGGAGGCGCCTAGCTACCTACCAAAATCAATACAAATGAAAGACAAATGTCAAAATTATGGATAGAGTTAGATTAAATGATTATATATCTATATATAATGTTAGATTCATATTCACTACCCGGAAACATGCTGGGGTACCGGTCATCAACGTGTTTCCAATTCATGGGAATCTGCCGGCCCCCATCATAGCCTCTCGTCCTCATTTTCGGCTTTATTATTTCCATGCACTCCTTTTTACTGCTTCCAAATGAAATGTATTTCGCTCCTCCTTTCCCTTCGCTTCAAGTAAGTACTACTAAAAGTTAAATGATGGGAAAATGCTCTTATTATGAAATGATGAGCGGCAGCATTACGCATGGCTGACGTGGTCGAGACCAAGCTGAAGAGACATGCGTAGTTCGTGCCGCCTCAAATTTTGCTCTCTGCAATTTTTCACTTCAGTCTCTTCCATTCTCTCAGGTCCCCCTCCTCTTCAGCAGTGGCGCGGCCTTTTAAGAAGAGTCTTCCCTGAGAAAGTCTTATTCCAACCAATAATAACTACAAGCAGAACCGTAGACCAAGCTGAAGAGACATGCGTAGTTCGTGCCGCCTCAATTTTGCTCTCTGCAATTTTTCACTTCAGTCTCTTCCATTCTCTCAGGTCCCCCTCCTTTCCAGCGCGTTTAGAAGAGTCTTCCCTGAAAGTCTTATTCCAACCAATAATAACTACAAGCAGAACCGTAATTATATTTGAACCCATTTTTCGGTTTGAAGGCATCTATACGCGTAAAGGTGGCCTGCTTCCATTTGGTATTTTGACAATTCAGGGCAGGTAAGAAACAGAGTAAGTCACATTTTTTATAATTAATTTATTTTTCATGTACAGCACTGGCCCGGTGAATGGAAGACCACGCTGGGGAGCTGCAAATTACTTAAATAGACCCCTCTCTCTCTCTCATTCGTCAATCGTCACTCTAGGATTCAACTAATCCTTCCCCCACACAACAGACAGCTTGTTTTCCTTCCATATGAGTTCCCTCTTTTTCTTGATCGCTCCATTCCTTCTCTCTTCTGCTTCCTCTATATATACATCACCTCCTATGTTCTCCTCCTCAAATAATTGCTGAAATCCCTCTCTCTCTCTCTCTCTCGCATCTCACAAACCCCTTCTTCTGCTGCTTTAGTAATTTGTTGGTGTGCGTTGATGGAGAAAGGGGTTAAGAGAGAGACATCATGCACGGAAAACAAGATTAGGAATAGTAACGGTGGAGGCGGAGGAGTATACCCAGGCATGCACAAACACTCCCAAACCATATCCAAAATGAAGCCCAAGATACGCATCATTCACATATTTGCACAGAGATCATCCAGACCGATGTTGACAAACTTCCGCCAACTGGTGCAGAGACTCACCGGAAAACCTGGTGGTCGCCAAAACTACACAAAAAACACCAAGCAGGCAACACATATACCACAAGAATCAATACATGTTGCAGACCCTAGCAGAGGCATGGGTGGCTGTGGCCTGCACGACGAGACTGTGAAAATGGAGCTCAGAATGGATCATCAGTCGAGAGAGGGATTGATCAAGAAAGAACAAGATTTTTACAACGGTGAGATCAGCTCCGGCGAGTATTTGAGAGGCTTGGAAGGCTTCATTTCTGAGTTCGGCGATTTCCCTTTCTTTCCTAATTGGGATGCTGCTCATCGTCACACCCAAGAGTTTCAAGACACCCTTCTTTCATAGATGCTCATTTCTTCTGATCCCTTATTTCTCTTCAATTTGTATGCTGATAGCTTCCATGTTTGATCTCATGCCTGTGTCTTCTAGGAATTATACACAGAATTGTTTGTTCATCGCCTCCATAGACCTCCTTATCATATTGACTCCGAGGTTATTTATACGTACATGCGTGGTTTGATTGCTTCTTTGGGTTTCAACGGTTCGGGAATCATGGAAGCCAACGGCGTGGTAACAGGTACATATATGACGATAGACCTGTTTAACAATATTAATTTCATCAAAGTAGACAAAGAATTTCCCTAAAAATAGTTAATTATGTATCATAGATGGTGCTTGCTTCTCTCTCTCTCTCTCCTCTCTCTGTGGAGTGAAGAATGAATTCATTACTGAAAAGTATTTACAACGAGGCAGCCACTGTTTTACAAAAAGAGATACCAATCTGCCATCAATAACCAAAGGTGCTTGCTTCTTTCTATTGAAACAAGTCGTGTTTTTGTCTCTTCTATGAGTCCCATCCGCCCTCCTTTTTTTATCATATCTAGTGACAGATTGATTTAGCAAACAATACAAGAACGTGTAATCATATACACCTTAATGCAGTTGTAAGTGAAAAAGTGGCTTCCAACTAGGCACGTTAAATCATTAATTGGGACGGAGGGGGTAAGTTAAGGTGGGGTCAGAGATCTAAATATGTAATCATACAAGTGGCCTGCAGATCCAATATGGCGCTCAATCAATTTGGGATAATCTAATAGAAAGACCAGCTATGAGGATTCTAAGAAAAAACGAATAAAAAAGGACATATACGTGTGGTTGAATTTCATACCCTTTTAAATCATTATCATACTACCCTACGTACCGTCCTTATATAAGAACTAATTGGCTAATTTGAGTATATTAAAAAATTAGTTATTTATAATAAATAGGTATTTTATTTTCTAAAATATTCTTGCAAATCAAGTGTATTAGTTAGAATTACTATTATTATAAGGACTATCTTAAAAAAAAAAGATAAATACGAGAGATAAAATGAATTAGGATCTTTTATATTTAGGATCCAGATAAAAGTCAAATGAGCTCTTATATTAAGAAGAGAAGGTAGTACAATTGAGCTTCATTTTGAAGCTGTGATGCGATGGCAAATACAGTAACAATGGGAAATTGATTTATAGTTTAGAGCAAGACATTTGATGCTTTCGGTCAAATGAAGGGGCAGGAATGAATAATTCAAATAGCTTGGGTAATCCAAGGACTAGCGCGAGTCCCTGAATCCTCATATATGCTTAAATTCACATCCGTCACAATAACACGTGGATTTTCTTCATTGAAATTTATTAGGAAAGCAATATACTACCTCCAGTACTTAATATAAGACCTCGTTTGACTTTTATTTTGATTCTAATTATAAGATCTCAATCCAGTGTCTCTTAGATTTATGCATTTTTTTCTAAGATATTCTCTCTAATAATAGCAGTTTTAGCCAATACACTTGATTAACAAGAATATTTTAGAAAAAATAACATCTATTTATTACAAATAACTAACTTAACTTATTTTCTTAATCTCCTCAAATTAGTCAACTAGCTTTATAATTAAGACCAGATGTAGTATTTTATTTGGACTAGTTCAACAGTTCGATGTAATATGCTTTTTTTTCCTTCTTAATTTTTATCTTTCACTATAATATACACGACAAACTTATGTGTGATCGCTAGGTAAGATTTAACGTGATGATATTGGTTGCTAAACAGGCTTAATACATCCATATGAATCATTAGGAGTTGCAGATTTAATGGATCTGATTCATTTGAACTCGTAATTAAAAGGGTTAATTAAAAACTTGATATTTTGAATTGGCTCCCTGTAAGTGAAAAGACTACACACGCACAAACTGTGCGCACTCGAGTAGAGTATTGTTCGACCTCTCCATACATGTGAAAGAGAAAAAGAAAGTATATCTTGAGCTTCAACAACGACATAAAGCATTTTATAGTACATTAACAATGGATCAGAGGGTGAAAATGAAAAGACGATGTCTGATCAGTTCAAGGAAAATTATAATAGATGAAGAAGGTTCTACCACCATTGGGATAAACCTCCTCCATCATACACAAAACTCTTAGTCCAAGCCTAAGAGTTCAGACTTGGATATAGAATGTTAAGTTATACTCCCTCTGATCTTAAATGTAAGATTCATTTTGTTGTGTAATTTATACTACAAAATAAGTCAATTACATTACAAAATGGGTCTTATATTTAGGATTACACGACAAAATGAGTCTTACATTTAGGACTATAGAAGTATATTTGATAAAGTGTTTCTGCATCAAGATGAAACTTGAAAATGACACTCATAATGCATGAGTACTCTGATAAACCAAATTTAAAAAAAATGATCTTACTATATATATACACTAAAAATGAGCAAATTCAATTGAATAATACATGAATAAATTAAACAAACTAATCTAGTAAATTTAACCCATTCATGAAAGAATGCAGAAATATTTTTAAATGGTTTCCCGTTTGACGGTTAAACGAACAAGAGGAAGTTGACTTGCGAGACAGCAGCGCGAAAGTCTCTTAATTTGCAAGTTGCAATATCCATTTTAAGGGGCATCTTATTATTCTGCAACTTGATAAATTGATAACTACGAATGTAGATGAAAACAAGGGCAGATGACATATGAAAATTGTCATGTTCAGATGAATCAAAACAACCGACCTATACGTTGCTCGCTCCGATGGCATCCCAAGTTGTCGCCTCCAATTTCCTTGACTCCTAAATTATAGGCTTATTATACATCCGAGATTGCCAATCACTGATGGCTGAGCTTCTTTAGGAAGTGACATCAGAGAATAGACAAATGAAATATCATCAAATCAGTTGCCTCCTCTTTCAAGCTTATCCCAAAACTCAAGTTTTGGAACTTTTCTCGCCTTCAAAATTAAAACTTCCTCGCTGCTCCACGTCAGACAAGGCAGGTCATTATGACAGCGTGGCAAGTTGTTGGTCAAACAGCGTGGTTTCTAATGTCAAAGTGCTTCATATTACTCAAACAATGATGTAAAATATCTGCCCCTTAAACTACTAAGTAGTGGGGTTAAGGTGTCATATCCAGTGACGTTAAATTAGTAGAAACAGACCAATGAATGGAGCACGTTCACATTGCCAATTCATATGATATACTTCTTAAACAGTATGGGGCTGCTAACGGCGCACGTTCACATTGCCCAATTCAAATGATACTTCCTACCGCTTTGCTCAAAAAAAAAAATTATACTTCCTACCACACCTTTTAGGGCTCCCAAATTGACTTCCTCTTTTGCTTGGCTCATCAATCTTTGTTCACAAGCATGCTCCAAATTTGCCGCATAAGTTAAGTATTTTTACCCAATTCTTTGGAACATGTAATACTATTTACAAAACGTGATAACGATCTGTTTTTCTTCTCCTTTTTTAAAAAAATTTTGCGTTGCTCTTATAGCCAATTTAAAGGGTGTTTGGATTAGCTTTTAGAAAGTAATTTTACAATGAGATAAATTTCTAAGATAAGTTTTATTCTGACTTGCATAAAAATATTTTAAGTGTGTTTTGAGAGTTCCACACTCTCCCTTAGTCGTATCTAAAATGAAGAACTTGAGGGTAAACCTACCGTAGTTTATTTCTTTGACATGAATACAAAACACCTTCATTTTTTTGAGCATTTTTTTCAGCCACTTCCTTAAAGCTGATAGACCTTACTTTCACTTTAGATTAAAATCTCATGGCAAAAAAATTATATTGAAATATAAAATCATGTTCGAATAAAAATTAAACAATTTTCCTGCTCTCAATTCAAACCAACTAATAGGAAATAGTGCTCGTGGCTAAGGACTTAAATTTAATTTTATCTAGATTCAGATTGGTTCTGTTTGGATTCGCAAAGGACCTAATAACCAAAAGACGGGGCCTACCCACGAAAGTTGCTAGTGAAGAGTCCCTTTAAGGGGGTGTTTGGATATCCTAAAAGTGTTTTTTAAAAGCATTTTTTCACAAATCGAGACAAATTCTCCACATATTTACCTCGTAGACCGTATAATCACTTCTGAAATCATGGTTTGGTTTCTATCCAAACACCCCTTAAATCTCTGTAATCCATAAAGCGAAGAGCAACTAGATCTATGATCCCATGAATTGACATGAATGAGAAAAACAGATGAATTTTTATTCATCACTGTGAGGGAATATAAATATATATATTTATTATGCAATAATTTAGTCTCCTTACAAGCAAAGAAATCTTAGCTCTCATAATCAGGACTCGGTTCCACCAAGGAAGATGGAGATGCATCCAGCCTTGTCAGAACTTCAGGCATTCCTGAGGTGTCCCTTAATATCTGCATCACAAACAGCGTAAGCATTCAGTTACAATCTCTTTTTAATTAAATATGATATTTTAGATTATATTTGTGTCTAAATCAGTTCTAGCACGCGATGTCAATGGCATTCAGAGATTTCCGATAGTAAATTCAATTCAACTGATTTAAGAAATCAATGCACTGGAATTCAGGATGCTACACATCAACTATTTCAACACTGTCATCTCTATTCTGGCAAAAAAAGGCAGTGAAATTTTTTTTTTTTTTTAAAAACATAGGAAGACGCGCTTAAAAAAATATCCGACGTGGTAAATGCTTACAAGTATCTCGTCATCAAGATAAGAAATCATGAATAGTCTCTGGAAACTTCCACCTACATATGCAGAACAAGAAAGTGAGAACCTAGTTTTCACATGAAAAACTGGATAAAAAGTATAGACGTAGGATATGAGAACACAGAATGGTAGTCCCAACTCTCAAACATTTTCCATGCACATGCATAATTATAAGTCAACGTCTTCAAGTTCTTGCACGTCCTATCGTTCTGAATATATGTTTCCCGGGAAACAGCAGATCATGTAATTATATGAGAATTTTCTCTAACAGAGGAGACCCTGACCGCCAAAACAGAAGTATTTACACAATCGTCAAATAGAACAATTACTGTTTTCATAAGAGACATGTCTGCATCATCTTAGCATCTTCAGCCTTGCAACAGTAAGTTTTACACATAAAATAATATATGTCACCCACCAGTTGCCATCCATAAGAAGCGCATGAGGAAGTTCAAGTAAAATAGAGATGTAACCAAGGTGCCTCCCGGAGTACAGCTGATAGATTCACTTCAGCATATAATTTTGGTAATAACATAGTGAAAACAAAATTTAACAAAATGTAAACATCTCTCAAAAAATTATCTGGATACTATCAGGGGTTCATATAGGAGATAGGCGAAATCTTACCCAGGGGAACTTTCAGCCCACTGGTAATGGCATCTCGGATAGGGACAGGAAGTTGTTGCACAGCATTAGCTGCCTGCCCAAGTGCGCCTTTAAGCTGTTCTGGTACTGACTCCTCAATAACTGTAGGTGTCTCAAGAATCCCTTCAACATACTCCTCCTTCAGACGAAGAGGACCTTCTACAGATAACTTCGTTGATAGGGTAATTTTGCTTTCTACCTACATTTGATCAATATGATCCATGATCAACCCCCGTGAAGTGATACGTGAGCCCAAACACAATCAACAAGGGGAGAACCAATAGTAAAATATCATAGGGAACGTGTACAATAATAAGTGTTGAGTCGATAAATATTTAGGAAGTGCCCAATACAAAAACAATGGCTTATGAAATCAGTTATGGCAGCCCTGAAAGCTAAAACATGATACCGAGTTCAATAATTTCATGTTTGCAGTAATCCTTGCATTTCCGTCCCTAATAAAGACATCCATTTTTGACAAGGTAGCTAAACTTGAAGGGAAATTCCTGCAAAGAAACAAAGGCCACCTGAGCAGTGATATTTGGCATTAAGTTTAATAAAAACTCACTAGAAGATTTTAAAAAGCTTCAAGGTCTTGTGATCAGAAATACATGATCCCAAGCCCCACCAGATGATTCTAAATGAAGAAAAACTAAATACAAATCTGTGATCAGAGTACTCACTCAAATATAAATCTAGCAGCAAACAATCCTGGACTCCCTGAACCAAACCACTCAAAGTTCCATTGTCCTTCTAAAAAGGGTGACCTGTAATTGAGAAAGGTATTAACATCTCAAACCAAAGCGCATGGATAGATGCTTTTGACCACTTACGTTGAGGGGCGAGGTGTTGGATTGAGCCGCTCAAGACTAGTTATCCTTTCCGTCACATCAATTTTTTGCATATCCGATGCCTTTCCAGTGACCAGGGCCTCAAAACCCCCTGCATCTTTAAACTGAAAGAATGCTTCAATGTTTGATCTAAGAATAATGGTTTGCAACACAATATAGAACTCGTTCCTAGACTATATTGTCAGTATATGCATTTCACTGGCGGAATCTGTAGTCCTCAGCTCTTTCAGAAGGTGGAGTGTTTAACAGAAAAGGAAACAGTAGCGTAATTAACATTGCAGAACTTTTGTTCAGTTCTCCAGAGCGAATCAGTTCTATGGTACCATATAGTCCACAGGCACCTCCAGTACCATATTAGAGGATGCGGTTTTTACTCGCAGTGAGTCTATTCAACATGACGAAGAAGAATAGAGGAAAATTCACACCACCGCCTCCATGAAGTGTACATGGATATTCATGTGTCTGTGCGTAATTTACCGTCCTCAGCAGAGTTTGCTTGCACCCAATATTCTTCATTTGTCAGCTCTCACAGTGATGAAACTATAAACTAGGTAATCGAATGAAGGGGGGAAATGCCAATGCCCATTTACAATCATGTCAAAATTTCAAATTTGAAATAGGAAAATAGTGGAAAATACAACAAAACGAAACTCGGGCCTTGCCTTGTTTCCGGATGAAGTTCCCCCTTTTATTATCAGCCAGGTAATTAGAACTAAATATCAAATCAAACCAGACAGCCCAGAAGTATCAGCACAGCAAAAGAGGGAGGGAATGGAGAAGTCGATACTCACAGCAAGAAGAAGCGATTCTTTGGCGGATAACCTCTCCATTTCCTTGGCGTAAGCCGCCGGCGCTCCCTGAACTGCCTCCTGAACCATTGCCCTGCAAACAGAGATGCGGCCAAGCTTTTTGCCCCCGAAAGCTTTCCGATTAGTCTGGGACATGAACAGCAGCGAAGTAGGAGATGCTGAAAAACAAGAAGAATATTTGCGAGACGAAGGGAGAGCAGAAATGGAAAAGATTGAGGCTTGTGAAGCAGCCATTGAAAGAAATGTTAGGCAGAGACGGGGATTTTTGTGAAGTGGAGATGGGTGCGAAGATGAAAGCAAGGGAATGGAGGAGGGAGGGGCGGAAGGTGTTTATACAGAGCGATAAGCAAGTAAATACGGCAGCGCGGATGGAGAAGGCGTCTCCGTCTTCAATTTCACCATCGTGAATTTGTCGAGCGCCAGCTCAAGGTCCGCAAACAAACTGACAACACCGAACTTAATTTCCATTCATTGCTTGCTGTTTGACCAAAACGGACAATATTCAAGTGATGCTAATTATGAACTCAGATTTTCCCCCAAATTAATTAAGGGGCGACTCTTCTTCTCTCCTCCCCCCCCCCCCCTTCTCTTTTTTCCACCGGTAACAAATTGATTGTATATGGAAAAAGAATTACAAAATTCAGACCAAGTTGTTTATAATCATATAAAATTCTCCAATTAAATGTTATTAAATATTAATATTTTAAAAGTATGACACATAATCACATGTAATTGAAAACTTGACAATGGATATAAAAAATTTAATATAAGTATTATTCAATAAGAATTTTGTATGATATGATACTAAATGCAGTAGATAGACAAAAATCGCAAACAACTAATAAATCAATTTATTAATGCTAGAATTATCTTTTTTATTTTATCCTTCATTTTTTTAAAAGTTAGGTTAAGGATGTTATTAAAAACAAGTACTAATTACATTTTGATATTTGTATTAGAACTCATATTTAAGGACAAAATGTAAATTCAAAGCAGAAATAAATCAAGGATGAAGTGACAATGGTTGGTGATGGTTTCATTATTTGGATTTATGACGGAGAATGAATGAAAAATGCAAAATATGAGGAGCATGTGAGGGAAGGGAAACGCAGCCGCATCGCACGCCATCCGTTCATTTGGCATGACGTAACAAACTCAAGAGAAGGAAAATGGGCAACGCAAAAGAAGAGGGACGGAGTAAGTTTTAATTGAGAATGGAGATGCGGGGTATCGAACCCCGTACCTCTCGCATGCAAAGCGAGCGCTCTACCGTTTGAGCTACATCCCCAGTTGTTGTGATTGGTCAGATAGATATAATAAATAAATTTTTCTTTGGGCTGTTCCATACTCACCGGAGTGTTGGCAACCTGAATTATTAGATGATATGGCCTAGAAGAATAAAAGAGCCTCTCTCTGATTTTGTTCCTTTTTTTTTTTTTACACCCATGTTGGAAAGGGGAAAAACAATTCTTTAGAACTTTTTTCCTATTTCTTTGAGGCAGTTCTATATTTTTTTTAAGTAAAAAATGGTTCTATATCTTTTTTTTTTTATACCAGATTTCTATAATCTTTATTGGAGTAGTGAATAATAGTTGATGTTTAACCTTGTATGTGGCGCAACGCTCGATTGCTGGTAATAAGGAGTTTATTTATTATTTTAGTTTCTAATAAGGATCCCAGGATAGAACACATACCGTACTCCCTGATAAGAAATTTTAATTGTTTCAGGGAGGGCCTTTAAATGAATGAAATAGTCTTGGAAAGGGCTTCAATGAAAAATTAAGAAAACAAAATACATTTATTAAAACGTCAATTCTGAAATGCTGATTTTATTAAAAGTTCTTCTGAAATATATTAAAGTTTCTTAAAATTCAAATGTGAATTCGCTACTGGTTGAAGAAAGTTAACCAAAATATCAAACAGAGGCTCCCAGTTCACCAATCTGAAAGTTTTGTTCTGATCAATCTTCTTGTCATCAAGTTGAAAAGAAGAACTGGGAATGGTTGAATCCATTTGAACTGCCACCAGCGGGGCCCCACTTTTAAATTCCTGCAGAAGTAAAGCGATGGAAGATGATTCGGCCCAGAAAGAAGAAAGAAAGAAAGAAAGAAGTGAAGGGGAGATGTGGGAATAAAGTGGCCTCTGGCCCTAGGACAAAAATAGGACTAGAGGAGTAACATATTTATTGTGAAATGCGCATGTGGGGGAAAGAACCGGGAGCAAGTGATAATGAATAAGAGCGGCTGCAGCCTGGGAGTGAGAGCAACGTGGCCTGATGCTATCACGTGGGATTCAGTGCAGGAACCACCAAACTAAATTAAGCGAAGCTCCATTGTAGCAGCAGTAAGAAACCGAGATGATAAGCCTGGGGTTCGCAAAGGGTTAAGCTAAAAAGGAGGAAAAAGACAGAGGAGCAGCATGTGAGGGCTTCTGCATAAAACACGCTGATTCCAAATCATTGCCAACACTAGTTTGAGTCCCCGTCCCTGAAACTCCCCCCAACGGCTATATTTCCTTCTCTCAATCATATGCCCTTCCCTCAACGGTCCTTTCCCCACCTTCAGCCTCCACAATTAATACTTCTTGCTTATCCCCCTTCCATACCACTTCCCTCCCTCTTCTCCTCCTCCTTCCATCGCAATGGCCACTCCTGCTCCCGCCGCCTCCCCTTCTGTTCAGCATGTCGCCAAAAAGTCTTCCGACCAACTCCTCCAGAAATTCGCCCACTTGGATTCGCGTTCCCCCAAACTCAAGTCTAAGCGCCGTATCACCGTCGCCGAATCTTGCTGTCGCAGCCCCTCCCATGGAGGCTCCGCTTTGGTCGAGAGGAGGTCGCTTCTCCCCCTCGCCTCCACTAGCCGCTCTGCTTTGCTCCGCCAGCTTGGCATTGCCCGCGCCCGCCTCAAGGCAAGGGACATCAGAAACAGATCCGTCTTCGGAACCCTTGAGAAGGTGCATACCTTCCGTCCATTTGATTTTGTTCATCTAATCTATTCTTGAATTACTAGCTGGACAAGTTGTTGACCGGTTGCTCTCATTTGTGGGCTCGTCCTCTAATTCAAGCTTTAAACTAACAACAATAGCTACGATTAAGATGGTCAGTACTTGCAGTTAATTATTTCAGTTGCCGATCAGGATCTTTTCGAAATTCATTTGCCTCATAGTAAGATTATCTAGTCTAGACCTAGTTTCGATTTCATGAATAGCAGCTTGCTGATTCGACTTGAATGGAGAGAAGGAACGGTATGAAATATGGTCACGGTTTGACGGCGGCTCCTGAGTGCTAAAATCCAGATAAAGCATAACGGAATGTGTCCATTAGACATTTCCGACCCCCGCCCCCAAATTAAATGAGAAGCAGGGCTTGATGTTGACCACGATTTTTCTATGAGCTCGCTTGCATTATAACGTGTTCAGTGTTCACTGGTTCTTGCAGACGTGGCGGAGTACGGTAGAAGGTGCATCCAGAGTTTTCATGGAGAAGCATTATCATCGCCATAAGCGTCTGATCAGTGATATTGTTTAGCCTCTTATCTGCTGTCCCCTGAGATGAACGCATAGCTCTGGACAGAAACTCAGACTATATGTATGATATATATATATATATATATATATATATATATTGCACTATCACTATTCGTTATTCATTAATTGATGCTATTCTTTAATTAGTCTCCGAATAATATATAAATTCCATCGTTTCTTTGTTGTTTGTTTGCGTAATAATCTTGCCCAGCTAGTAAGTTTTCATTCTTGCCTCTTTTCTCTTTTTGATCTCTTTAAAAAGAAAATTAAATAAAATAAAAATTAAAAAATAATCATTAAATGCCTTGCAAATAACTTGTATTTATAATAGCAAAATTTTCTACAAATAACTTATGAAGATCAAAGTGATGTTGTTATTGCATGATCTTTCAGTTTAAAATATGGTTGTTGTAAATCACCAAAAATAAATAAGCATTTGTTCTTGGACATTATAGTATATATCACTTGCTCATGGGAGCAGAAAATAAATTCAATAGTACGTTATGGACCCGTCTCATTCGGGACACAGCATTGGAAAAGTTTGTTAGCGAAGCTGGATTAGCATTGATTAATGGTCAAATTTATTTGCTTTACCAATATTAATTTATGCTCGAGACCTAATTAAAAATGGATTGCGCCGTTTTAATTGAGTAAATGATACTAACAGGTTAAAATATTTAATCTAAAAATAGATCTGACTCGCAAGTTAGTTATAGAATCAATGATTCTATTTGAGTGTAGGCATTTCTACCATCTGACTTTAAAAATATGTTTAGTCTTGTGATATAATCATGCATATCTATGCACAATTGACGCAGGAAGATGGAATCATATTTCATTATTGTTTTGCTTTTATTATTCCACGTCTATGCTTGCTCTGGAATCGGCATCCCCTGCAGTTTCATCTAAGAAAAAACTTATTTTATTTTACTAATTTTTATATCTTATTACCGTATTTTATTATACAAAATTAATGATAAAGTAGAATATTTTAAATCTTAAGATTTTTATTTGTTTAACAGGTATATATAATATGCAATAGAAAATCATCATCATGTCGCCATCTCCGTCCCGCATTTTTATTTTCCTTCTAAATTTTGAATTCAGTGGACGGCAAATGTAGGCAAATTGAAACAAACTTGATATTTGCGTGCCCATTCTCATCTGGGTCAGCAACAACTGGAAAAAAAAATCTCTGCAACTATACACTATCAACCATATATAGTATAATGTCATAAATTTATACATAAATATGAGAAAAAATTGCATTAAGGTTGCAAGGAACAAAAAATATGACAAAAATATCCCATATAACTATATAAGTTTGAAATAAATATAATGCCCCATTTGTTAATGGTGGAAGAATGTTTAATGAAGGTGAAAGTGAAACTGGAAGTGAGTTTTAAAACATGTTTGATAGGATGATAGAATTGGGATATAATTTTTTTATTAAAATATGTATTTATAATACGAAAATATCAAAATGCCCCTCACAAAAAAAAAATCCCTTCTTTTCCTGCCAACAGATCGCCGTTCATGGCCTCACCACCACTGTCGCCGGAAAAAATAAAAAACATGAAAGACTAGAAGATAATTCTTCAATCAAAAACTCATCATCAATAATCATTGTAAATAATCGAAGGGGGAGAAGGGGAAGATGAAGTGGGAGAAGGTCGCAAATCAAAGAGGGAGAAGGAGAGGACGAAGAAGCTGAGTCACAACACCCTTGGCAACTTGATCTCCCTCAGCAAAGTGTCCTGGCACAACTGGAGGACTTTGCGAAGACATTGATGATGCCATAGCTAAGCAAAGTCAAAACCGAAGATCAAAATGGAGTACGAAAACATTCGTTGGTTGAAGAAAAAGATGGGACGGGGTGACGGAAGTAGGAAGCGATGGAGGTTAGCGGAAATAAAGGTTGGGTGGCGGCAAAGGATATGGAAGAGGGAAGGGCATGGGGGAAAATATGACCATGGGACTGGAACTGGAACCTAGTTCCATAAGGTAGCCGATAGAACCTAATACCAACATTTTTTATGGAACTGAGAGTTCCATAAAACCTGATATTCCAGCCTACCAAATGTGTCAAAATATCGATTCCAGTTCAAATTCCAATTTCTTGCCTCCAGTCCCAGCGTACCAAACTGGGCATAAAGTCTCAAGGGATCTGAGTGTAGGAGATTGTAAATGCTGAATTACCAAGTTTTCCTTGTTAAATAAAAATCAAGAACAGAAGAACCAAGCCGCACCCACCCGTCCTGATCGAGCTACCGCACCCACGAGCGTACTGGTGAGGGAGATGGCTTCTGGGCTAGTGAGAATCGGGTTGGGATGAGAGGAGGAGGAGGAGAAGAAGAAGGGGTACTAAGAGTAGTAGTGGGAAGCTGGTGGAGGAGCCAATTTGGAGAAGCTACCGGTAATGGAAAGATTTATAGGGATGCAAATTAAGTGGAATGCGGAGCAGAGGAGTGGAAAATATTAAAGGCGGCGGAGTGATTCCGTCGACTTGTGGTGGCTGTGGACGGGGGAGGGGGGGGGGAGGTGATCTACATGAGAGCATAAAGCCAAGCTCATCATTGACAAATGGTCATGACCCAGCACTATTAAAAAGCTAAGATATACAAATAGTCAGGTTCCACTATTTGAAAATCCTGTATAACATGCACTCCCCCGCTCTTAAATATAAGAACTTGATACTACGTATAAAGACCGGAGGAGGAGGAGTACATACATATGAGGTGATCGTGAAATCAATTTTCTTTTTTCCCCCTTAAGTAAATGCAGCTTAATTTTGACCCAAAAAAAAAAAAACAGTTCAGCTCAATTATTATACGGAACTCATTTGGTTGATTGTCCTTGGATCTCCTGAAATGATTTGAAGCTTCTTAAGCGGAGGCTTCCTTTTCGCAAAGACAAGTGACAAGTTGCCTAAGTGTGCCAATATCTATGAGTGAGGGTGGGGTTAGTGGCAAATAAGAGCATACCCTCCTTCTCCTCTGCTCCGCATTCGACCTGATTCGCTTGCCCATGCATTTATCATTCCATTACAATAGCTTCTCCAGATTGGCTCCACCACTTCCCGCTACTATTCTTGTTACCCTACTTCTCCCATTCCAGCGATTCTCACTAGCCCACCACATTCCATCTCCCTCACCAGCACGCTTGTGGGCGTGGGTAGCTCAATCAGGAAGGGTGGGTGCGCCTTGGGGTTCTTCAGTTTTTTATTTTTAATTAATAAGGGTAACTTGGTAATTCAACATTTGCCATACCCAGCACTCCAGTCCCTTGGAACTTTTTATTCATTTCGATCTTTTTGCTGTATTTTATATTCCTTGACATTTTAGTACAATTTTCTTTGAATATAATATATATCTAATACTCTAATTTTTTTAATAAAAAAGTTCATATCATAAGCTGTTTTTTTTTTTTCACCTGAATCATATTACAAGCTATAAAGTATAAACAATTTCATTATAAAGCTCGAATCGAACATAGGACTTGGCTAATTATTTTCTGCGAAGTTCTATGCCCATATTTATTTTTTAAATTTTTTCATCGTTCATTATATTTTCTTTAGAATATTGGAATTCCATATCTCACATTAAAAAAATAGGATTACCATCATTTTTTGTCTCTCAAATTTGACGTCATTTTAACTTTGGTCTCTCAAAATAGTTTTGATCCATAAAATTTGATTTCATTTTGATATAGTTTAAGATCTTTTTACTGTCAAAATAAGCATTAAAACTAAAATAAGATTAAATTTAAGAAACTAAAAATCACTTGTTTTAAATTTTAGAAACCAAAAACCATTGGTTTCAAATTTTAAGGAATAAATCAAAATGGTCTTAAATTTTAGGAATTAAAAATAGTATTAACTCAAAAAATTAAAATAAAAGCGTATGATATTACTACCTCCGGTCTTAATTATAAGAATTAGTTGACTAATTTGAGGAGATTAAGGAAATAAATTAAGTTAGTTATTTGTAATTAATAGGTGTTGTCTTTCTTAAAATATTCTTGCTAATCAAGTGTGTTGGTTAAAACTATAATTATTAGAAGGACTATTTTAGAAAAAATTGTATAAATATGAAAGATAAAGTTGATTGGGGTCTTACATTTAAGACCAAAATAAAAGTTAAACCAGATCTTATATTAAGTACAAGAGGTAGTATTGGAATTATAATACCTGACCATATTATACTGCGATTTGCGATCTAATGCTTCTTTCTGATTTCATTCTAATATTTGGATTTCGTTTGGTATTTAATTTTATCTCACGGGCAAACAAATAAAGCTCGCAAAATCAGCTCGGAATGTCCGATGCACACCCCTATATGCAAGGGAAGGATTTGGATTATTTGACCCAGTTGAACACAAGTAAATGCCAAACCAAGATTGCAGACTCGTAACCAGAGAACATGGATAAATATGGTAGTAATTTGGCTGTTTGGCGAGACAGAAATGAAATGGTAATTTTTTTTTTTGGACTCAGAAATGAAATGGTAATTGAAAGAAGATAAAAAGAAGGAACTTGATGCGCTCTGCATCGTCTTCACGTTAAAAAGTCAACACTGGTTTCCCTCACTTTCCTCTTCCTCCCACTTCCACCCGCCACTCTGCCATAAGTACCTTCTTGGGAAACTGTGCGTGCCTTTGCCTCCGTCATTAAGAAACCGCCTGCCCCCCACAATTGTTTCTCATTCCTCTGTTCTCTTAATCTTGCCCGGAAGACTTCCCTTCCCCAATACTAAATCCTAACATCTCTTTTTAAATCTAGATAATTGATTCCATCCACTTTATTTTCAATTTTAGATTCTATTTTCCTTCATCTGGTGTACCACCTCGCCAAATTTTGTATCTTTCTCATTTCACGACTCATACAACGCACAATTCTTGTTTTTCCTTCTGTGAAATTACGATATCTTACAGATTTTCATTCCCTTGTCAAAGATATCACAGTTTATTTTTCGAATTCAGAAATTCTTCCTGTCATCTCCTCGGCTATCCGACCTCTTCTATTAATTATCGCCGGCGAATATTCTAGGGATTTGTTATAGAGGGAAATGTGGGATGCTTTCGTGGTTGGCAAGGATGGTTTCTGCGTGTTTGACACCAATAAGGCGGTATGCCCGTATGAACAGGGATAATATCGATGATTATTCCCGGTCTGAAGACGCTCTCCTTTGGTGCAAGGACCTTGAGAAGCACTCGTGCGGCGAATTCTCTTTTGCGGTAGTTCAGGCCAATGAAGTAATTGAGGATCAAAGCCAGGTTGTGACGGGGCCAGACGCCGTGTTCGTTGGGATATACGATGGCCATGGCGGTCCCGAAGCGTCCCGGTTCGTCTGCGATCACCTCTTCCATCATCTAATGAGTGAGTCTTATGCGCTCGCTTGGATGCTTTTACATTGATTTATTGTTGGCTTGTCGTTACTTCCTGAAGAGGTCGTTGTGCAGTGCTTTCGATGTTGATTTTTTTGGACTTTGGTGTCCGTTGTTATCACACAGCTTATGTGTGTTTATTGTTATTACTATCATCATCATCATCATCATTATTATTTGGCTGGCCCTTTGGCCTTTACCGGCTACGCCCCAGATTGTATTGTTGTATCGTTGCTCTTGAGAATGCAAGGAACTAGCCTCCGGATTCGGTGTTGGAAATTCCGCTTTGCCTTCTGAAGCTAAAATATCAGGCCAATTAACATTCCTCTCGTCTTCCTTCGCCACCTTTCTTTTCTTTTGAGAGGTATTTCTTGAAAAGAGGGAGAAAAGACAAATAAAAAATTTGAAGGGATGCAGTTATTGAATGCACATACAAGCAGAAAGGATGAGGAAATATATTTCTAGAACCATCTTCCATCAGTTACTGAAATTAATCCTCAATTGAGCTCAACAAGATTCTATGTATTTTCCCCCTCTTAAATTGGCCATCACTACAGTGGGATTAATATCTTCCTTCCATATCGATCATTTGGAATGTCAGTAGGTTATATCGAAAAGTGAGTATTCCGTTTAGGATCGTCCAAGGATTGGCTGGCTTGATAAACCTTGTGCTGCAAATCGAATGTTTCACTAACTATTCTGGTGGACATGGTTTCTGAATTTCAGATTTTGTATTGTTTTTAATTTTTGGATCAGAATTGACTGACATGCCTGTGTGAGTTAGTATATATAATTTCTGTTACTGTTTGTCAATCAATGACAATGCATGTATTATTAGTTCTAATGAACGCAGCAATTTTTCTCTTTTGTTATACCTCTTACATGCCCTTGGAACTGCTTTGATTTAAATAGTTACGGAGGTTTTGTGGTGAAACTTGTTACAGGGATCGCTCAAGAAAATGGTACCATATCCGAAGATATGCTCAGGAATGCTGTTTCTGCTACTGAAGATGGATTTCTGAATGTTGTTCGAAGAACATTTGGTATAAAGCCATTGATAGCAGCAACAGGCTCCTGCTGTCTGCTGGGTGTTATATGGAAAGGGACGTTATATGTTGCGAATCTTGGAGATTCTCGTGCTGTAATTGGCTCTGTGCATGGATCTAACAAGATCGTTGCTGAGCAGTTGACCAGAGAGCACAATGCAAGCAGAGAGGAGGTTAGACGAGAACTCCGGAGTTTGCATCCAGATGACTCACAAATTGTAGTTATGAAGCATGGAACATGGCGTATTAAGGGCATCATTCAGGTTTTCACCCTTCAGAAAGAAACTGTTCATTGTTTACCTTGCCTCCCCCCCCCCTTTTCACTTTTGCTTGTGTTTTTATCCAACATTGGGGAGTTCCCTTATATTTGAGTGGAAACTTTTTGTCTGATTGTGTGGTAATGCATACTAATCAATATTAACATTTGATGGACGGATGGACGGATGAATTGTGACATTTATTGTATGTGGAATGGAAGCTTCCGTCTAGTGCATGTTTTCAATTTTCAGTCTTGGAGTATAATTATTGGTATATTTTATTGCACAACTATGTTTATCTTTTGGCTTATGCATGAACTCAAATTATATTCTGCACATGTGCAAACTGTTTAGCCTTAGGGACTTCAGTTTTCTCAGGATTTCTGAAAACTTTTGATAGACGCTTGTTTTATTCATTGTTTTTTTCCTGTGTCTATGCAAGTTATTTTTATACTTGCTCCAAATAAAAGTTTCTTCGTGTTTTTTTTTTTTTTGGGGGGGGGGTTTTCTACTGCAAATGCAATCAGGTATCCAGATCTATAGGTGATGCATATTTGAAGAGATCAGAGTTCTCTCTTGATTCTTCCTTCCCACGGTTCCATCTGCCAGATCCTATCCTTCGACCGGTGCTTTCGGCAGAACCATCTATATGTTCCAGAGTTATACAGCCAAATGATAAATTTCTCATATTTGCATCTGATGGCCTTTGGGAACACATGACAAATCAGGAAGCTGCTGAGATTGTTTATAACAACCCACGAACTGTAAGCTTCTTGTGATACTGGCTCTTTCTCCTGTTTTTGTCGTTTCTTGTTGGGTCTCTCATCCTTGGCATTTGGAAAAACCCTGGCTTTTTCCGTCTAATGTTTTTTCTTGAAAATCAGGGGATTGCAAGAAGACTTGCGAGGGCTGCCCTGAATGAGGCGGCTAGGAAGAGGGAAATGAGATTTAAAGACATGCAGAAAGTTGGGAAGGGGATCAGGAGGTTTTTCCATGATGACATCTCTGTTGTTGTGATCTTCATAGACCATGAGTTTCACGGAAAAAAGATAACCGTACCAGAGTTATCCTTCAGAGGTTTCGTGGACAAGGTTGGACCGTCAAATCTCAAAATTGTCAGGAAGTGAGGCTGCTGTTGCGACTAATTCAATTGATAAAAGTGAGTGTGCCATGGATAGATGGCCTATGACCCAAACTGTAATAGGGGAAACAATTATTGGGAAATGGATTCATTATAAAGTTCACTCCTGCCGACTCGAATCGGATGTCCCTGCCTGGTTAAAGTTGCCATTAAAGGGAGGCTCTAACAATTCTATGCTAAGTCAAAGGTGAACATTTTTATGGCATCTCATTGTTTATTTTGAACATTTCTTCTCGCCTTTCAAGAGGCATGCAAGACTATTAAATTGAGACCTCATCTATTGCATGGTGATGGTAAAAAAAAAAATATATATCTGTTGCCTGCTCACCTGTGGGGGGCAATGGCGAAAACCAGTGTTCCTTTGTCTTTTCTTTCTAAAGCTTCTTGGAATGGTCAGCTTCACCCCCTCGCACAGGCTCTAAGCAAAGACCATTTCGAAGCGTGTTACTCTTGTTACATCAATTTTGCTTTTAGGCAGCATGAAATCAATCAATCATCCGTTAGAAAAAAAAATTATGTGAAATACATATTTAATATAAATTTTTTAAATTGAATTTAAAATGTTAAAACTTAAAACCTTTTCAAAATAAAAATAATAATATAATTTGAACAATGTTAAGTGTATGGGAACGGCTCATGTGAGGTGCATTTGTTGCACAGATTTAGACACAAAAAAACCATGTTAGGACGTTCGGAACCCCACTTTCTGAATCCTGAATGGGACGAAACATCCTTTTTGGGAGCAAGTGGTAGTCTTCCAATTCCATCACTGGTCTGCAGTGCTTGCTGAGTCGCATTCGGCATTTCATTAGTTGCCAACCAAACATAATTTATGTGTGCTTCTTCTCGTCGACCCCTCCGCCGAAGTTGACATTTTATGAGGTGGCCGCGGCGGCAAACCAGTAATTGAATCACACCCAATTTTATATACTTGCCAAGTTATCTCTGGAGGCTGCTACTTATTTTACCCAATTCAAGACCTTATCTCCTGTTTCGGGATAATGCTTTATTCGCTCATTCTCGCCGACTTAATGTTTGCTTGTTTTTTAATTATTGGTTTTCTAGTCATCGTGTTATCTTATCACGTCGTTCTCTCAGGGCTGGTCCGTGATCCCATCTTGGGTTAAAGTGAGAGGTCTAAGATTCTACTTCCAATCCTTAATATAAGAGTTAATTAATTAATTTGAATAAATTAAAAAAATTAATTAAGTTAGGTGTTTGTAATATATAGGTGTTGTCTTTCTTAAAATATTTTTACCAATCAAGTGTATTAATTAGAACTACTATTATTACAAAGATTACTCTGAAAAAAATAGATAAATATGAAAAACAAAGTGAATTGGGATCTTACATTTATAACCAAAATAAAAGTAAAAACGAGCTTTTATATTACAAACCAGAGGTAATGAATCAACATATTCATCTCACAACAAAATGCTTGTGTGATTGTATCTCCTGTTAGCGGTTGCAGATTATCATCTTAAATATAAGAGCTATTTAAAAATTTAATTTAATCTTAAATATAAGATTTCAATTCACTTTGTCTCTCATCTTTCTCTATTTTGCTCTCAAATAATCTTTATAATGATTGCAAAAATTGTTTTAATACACATAATTAGTAAATATTTTTTTTTAAAAACAATATTTATTTATTATAAATAACTAATTTAACTAATTTTTTAATATTCATAAATTAATTACAAAACCAGAACCGTTTTTATAATTTATTGTCTAATTATGTGTTGGATATTTCTATGTATTTGTTTGGGGCCGTGTTCTAGTTCTGAACTGCCGATGGGACTTTAACATGCCCGCAGATTGCGTTTAACAGTTCGCATGGAATCTTCAATATCAATCATCACATGCACGCACACGCGCACAATGAAAACCATTAAAAGCAGTCATCATCAGTGCAGGGCAGTTCCCAGCCAGCTCGAGCTTTCATGCAGCACGTGGGCCAAAATCTAGTTGATTCAATACTCAGCAAGTATAATCTATTGCTGTAGCTAAATAATTAATCATCAGGGCAGAGATAAGCACGACTCTCTGTTTCAGACAATCTCAGATCATTCTTTCGAGAACATGATAACCAGAATAACTTAAAGCAAAGAATTGCTGGTTCAACCAAACCAAATCAGTAATAATTCACAACTCTACACAACAAAATAACAAGGAAAAAGAATTGCTTGCTTTCATTCTCTTATCCCAAAATATAAAGGAAAGAAAACGTAAAAGAAACACGATGAAAAAAAATGGTAAAGAATAGGAAATGGAAGTTCCCCAAGCATGGACATAATTCTGTAGGATGAAATATATGTAGCAATTTTCTGATCCACCTCTTGCTTTCCATAATTAGAAGCATTTCCTGTGAACGATCGAGGGACCAGATTCATCATACTCTGCCTTGGCAATCCACATCTGTGCTCAAGAATTGAAAAACATGTATCAGAATAAATACTTAACAGTGTGATGAGAGAAACTATCATATCAGTAGACCCTAGAGACATGTTCAACTGTTCCAGTTGTGGCTTAAAGAAGTTCCGCATCCTGCCAAAACCACCTTCCATGGAATAAAAGCATCCGTATTGCATGCTAACGTGTGATTTTATGCCTTCCTTGATCTGACTATCATTGTTTGTTATTTTATCTCGCTTTATTTCCCCTTTTCATTTAAATTAATATTACTTGAAATAGATTTTCATGTTGTATCTGTCATATTATCTTCATAGTTATGAACTTTAAATCACACACTCTACCTGTTGGAATGTGCTAAGAGATGCCAAAATGGAGCCTCCAATCCAGACACTGTACTTCCTCTCAGGTGGTGCCACCACTTTAATTTTCATGCTGCTGGGTGCCAATGCTGTAATCTCCTTGCTCATTCTATCAGCAATGCCAGGGAACATCGTGGAACCACCACTCAAGACAATGTTACCATAGAGATCCTTCCTGATATCAACATCACACTTCATGATTGAGTTATATGTTGTTTCGTGTATGCCAGCAGCTTCCATCCCGATCATGGATGGCTGGAAGAGTACTTCAGGGCAGCGGAATCTCTCAGCACCTATTGTGATCACCTGACCATCAGGTAGCTCGTAGCTTTTCTCGACAGCTGAACTAGTCTTTGCAGTTTCAAGCTCCTGCTCATAATCAAGAGCAATGTAGGCCAGCTTTTCTTTCACATCTCTCACAATTTCACGCTCAGCAGTTGTGGTGAAAGAGTATCCGCGCTCAGTCAAGATTTTCATGAGGGCATCTGTGAGATCACGCCCTGCAAGATCCAAACGGAGGATTGCGTGTGGGAGGGCATAACCTTCGTAGATGGGAACTGTGTGGCTGACACCATCTCCAGAGTCCAGAACAATACCTAAAACAGCATAAAAACCGCACTATCAATCCATTGCAGTGGTAAGCTATACCATTAATCGGATGGCCCTCAGAATCCCACTCAAACATCGATGGATGAAACATAACGAAATAACCAGAGTAAAACATTTCAGATCCCAGCAGCTTTGCTCATCGAACTCTATGCCGCCTTTTAAACTATTCTTAATGCTAACAATAGAAGTATTCTTATTACTGTAATGAACCAAATGTGCTGATGGATGCATATGCTATGGTGTAGATCATTACTCCTGAAAAGAAACTTATTTTCCCAAAATAATGAGTAGTATAATTAGCAATGCAGAGAGAGAGAGAGAGAGAGAGAGAGAGATGATTAATTGTCCTAACATTAGAAAGCACGCAGGCGCGCGCGGCCGAAAGAGAGAGTTCATTACCAGTTGTGCGGCCACTAGCATAAAGGGAAAGGACGGCCTGAATGGCGACATACATTGCGGGAGTATTAAAGGTCTCGAACATAATCTGAGTCATCTTCTCACGGTTAGCCTTTGGGTTGAGAGGAGCTTCTGTCAGGAGGACGGGATGCTCTTCCGGAGCTACACGGAGCTCGTTGTAGAAAGTGTGATGCCAGATCTTCTCCATATCGTCCCAGTTGCTAACAATGCCATGCTCGATCGGGTATTTCAGAGTCAAAATACCTCTCTTTGATTGAGCTTCATCGCCAACATAGGCATCCTTTTGTCCCATACCAACCATCACACCAGTGTGACGAGGGCGACCCACAATGCTAGGAAATACTGCCCTCGGAGCATCGTCTCCGGCAAATCCGGCCTACAGGTTTATTCGAGTAATGCTTATTTAACTGGTAATCACGAAACCCAACAGATAGATAAGATCAACAACATTTGCATGCTTGGATCCATACCTTGACCATACCCGTCCCATTATCGCAAACAAGAGGCTGAATATCCTCAGCATCTGCCATTGTTTATTAAACGCTGCATAAAGACACCAACCGACCATCAAAATCTCAAAGCCAAACAAATGCAAACGACAATTAAATGAATGCCTGTTTCAGTGATAGATGCAACATAGTTCTGATAATTAATCCCAAACATTTGTGCCCTGGTACACGCCCGAATCGGTTGAGACGACAAATTTCATTCCAGTGAAGTAATCGTAGAAATTAGAAAATGTCGTCCCATCGCCAGAACAGTCTTAAAAGAACTTTACGAGACGTGGGGCTAAGCACGAATTCCCACGCATCAAAAGCCACTAATGCCAGTACCGCTAATCACCGAGAGAACACAGTAGAACATATACTACAATCCCGAACGGTATATCACTATAAGCAGATTTATGACATGACCCAATAAAACAATATGCCGCACTCCATAAAGAAATCGACTAACAGAAATAAGCATAAACGGGATATTGACCATTCACAACCCATAATATGCCGCGGAAAGTAAGAATTTTAAGAAAGCCCATCTGTTCATCATACCTAGTGGGAAAACCGACGAGTAATTGGAAGAAATGAATGTTAAAATTGTTCAAAACAAGCAAATTCTGATGGAAGGGGGAAAAACATAAAAAGTGAAGGAGGTATAGAAAAGTGACGTTACCCGAAGGAAAAGCTGACTAAGTCGGGGGTGGGAAGAAGAGGACGGGAAGGAAGGAGGAGTGCCTGCGGATTGTGAGGAGTGAAACGAACGAATATGGGGGCGAAGTACCCGCGGCGTCGTTTAAAAAAGAAAGGTCGCGCAAATGAATGAGGACCGTCTTTTTCGAACATCTCAGCGCGTCCGTGGACCCCATCCTCCCGGTCACGTTCATGTTGGAAATAGCTGGCACTCTGTGCTGCCCCCACGTGGACTCTTTTTTTGAAATACCCACTCGGGACCCTCCTTTTTATTTCCAAACTCATTGCTTCTCGACCGTCTGACCAAAAGCTTCGTATATGGTCATTTACAGCTCGGTATATGTCAGTAATTCACTATACATCATTACATTGTTAATGTGAACTGGGCGTATCCTTTATTGCGAGTGCCAAATACTTCAAAATGTACGAATTGGATAAATGCAGTTCATGCTTGTACATGCCCATGGGGCAGCCAGGCATTGAATTATAAGTATTTATTTTTTTCTTCGTTTAAATTGAGTGGATCGTAATAGTTAGAGCTAGAGCTAGACATCAGTATAGGAAGATGATGGGCTTTGTGGAGGCAAGTAAAATTAGGAGATGTGAGCTGTGCTGGACTTGGTAGAAAGAAAAGGAAAGGGGACCCGCGTCCCACACCCCCCCCCCAAAAAAAAAGTAATGATGAATAATGGAAGGGCCAAGTTGTAAAGTTTAAATTGACCTTCAATTTGATTGCGCCTGATCTCTCTCTCTCCCCCCCCCCCCCGCCCCAAAAAAAAAATCAATAGAAGAATTGATATCAAACCGGCGGTCTCCTATAAAAAGTTATCGTATGAGGAGGCTATAAACACTATTCACGGTGCGCTTGCCTTCCCTCCCTGTTTTATCATTAAAAAAAGCTGCACACCAGCTCAGCATTGGGTTCGCGCCTGACTGGGCGCCCATGGCTACATGGTGGCGTGGGGTCACATGCACGTATACTGGTTGATGGACGGATTATGGATTGGATCCAACGTTGACTTCATCCATCCCAGTGTATTATTGTCCCTCAAATTCCTCCACAGTCCTGTTTTAATTTCTCTTTTATTGGATGTTAACACCATGGACTGGTCTGCAAATTTGTATAGGGTATTAATTGCGGAGCTATATATGGAATAAAATAACGTGTGGGGTGGAATATGTTCATTTGTTTGTCAACCAATCGTGTGTCGGGATAAATGTTCATTCCTGTTCCGTGATGAGCAGTTAACACAACAAAAAGCAAACCAAACATGGCGCGAGTTTGATGATTAAGTTAATCATACTCAGTAACGGTTGTAATAAATCGATTCACTAGTAATGTTATTACACATGTCAAAACATCGATTAATATTGGCATGATTTTGATCATATAATCGAGCAATATATGTATATATAAGTCACATTAACCTAGATTATTATTGATCAACTTTATGGCTTTGTTTCGAATGAATCACAAGCAGTTTTTCGAATGTAATTTATAAAATATGAAATAAGGATATATGAGAATAGTTTGGTCACATCTTATTTTAACGTGTTTATAAATATTTATAGATTGGAGCTTCAAATAAGTCCTTGAACGTTGTGTGAATAGGGAAGACTTGCCATGGTTTTGAGAGGAGTAGGAGACTTGCTCTAACTAGCAACTGGGGGGTGGTGGTACTTTATAGTATAGTAATCTATAAATCTGAATGGGGAGGCACACGGGCATCCGGAAGAAGGCGTGGGAGAAGGCAAAGGCTGGCAGTGTGGTCCAACTCTCAATGGCTCAGCTTAATATCCTCCATCGTTTTCGTACTTGTTTCCATTCATCACACAAAATATAATGCGGGGCAGTTTGGTCGGCGCTCTTCAACTTTCAATTCTCTGCTTTTCTCCATCCAATTGTCTCACTGTCGCCTTCTTTTTTCCTGCCACGGCTGGCACTAATCATATCTCCAATTGTATGCATCATTTTTTTTTTTAAAAAAATGTAATTTAAAAGATGACGATGTCAAGGTCAGTAGCTTTATACTCCTTCTATGACGTTCGAAATACGAGAGCGGAGAATGCATTTCTTTTCACGGGAAATGGTGATCATGGAGCAAGCCTAACAATTCAGCATCAGGCCTCTTCTACCTTTTCAAGTCCTCCATATAGCTCTAGTTTTCCTATTACCTCAAACCGTCCACATATTCTCTATGTTTTCTACCATCGTGTTTATCTAATCACAGTATATTTCCCAGTTTACTGGATGAAGGACGAGTTCATTTATTTCCAGTTCTTATTTTTTTAATATTTATTTTTAATTATACCTGTGTCCTTACCGTCGGGGGTGCGACAAGGGACCTCAACATATTTGCAACTGCCTGAAATGAAGTTATTTTTCAGCCAGGGCAGGGGAGATCCCTCAGAATTTTAGCACAGCTGCAAAAACTCAAAACACGGCAGTGTATATAGAAACGGGAGATATTACGGATCTAATTTTGAGGTCCTAATGTCCAACGATGCAAAGATCTTTTCATGGGAGCCAACAGGGGGTGGCCCTTGGCGTCACGATTTGATGTCGTCCTTCTCTTCTCAGCATCCTTTCGTAAGCTGTATAGTATCATTGACAATCCTTTGTACTGATCCGCTGTCCAAGGTAGTTGCTTTTCTATCCAAAAATAATGTTATCTAACCCATAGTAATGGGATTACCAGAAAAATTAGTCTATCACAACGTGACAAATTATGTTTGAATTTTTACTAAGAGAGGTATCCACATTTAATACTCTACAGTGTCTTGAATGGGATTACCTCTAACAAAACAATACCCATGCTTTAACAAGGAAAAAAAAATGCTATCTAGTAAAGTTAGTTAAAAATTTAATTTGATTTTAAACATAAGATTTCAATTTATTTTATTTTTTATATTTATTTATTTTTTTCATGTTAATTACACATGTTAAAGAATTTTTATTAATAATGAACTGAAATGCAAATGATTAACAAATATAGTTTAAGAAAAACAATATCTATTTATTACAAATAACTAACTTAATTAATTTTATTGATACAGAAAATTAGTTATTAGTTCTTACATGAATGACCCAAAGCAGCAATAATAAAAGTATTCGTTTAGTTGCGAAGGGGAAAAAAAAAGGGTTCTTTATTAAGTCTTGAGGATTAGTGGATTAACTATGTACAGAATGAATGAATGGTAAGGAAGAGAGGAGGATTCCCCCTTCTGGATGGCGGTCATTGTGTAAAAGCTTAACAAGGCTGGAATTGTACTAGAAGGCTCCATCACCCCCAACAAGTTATATGACCCTCCAGCACATGCCTTCAAGTTGCAGCTTCTTATAATTGCGCACAATTGGAAAGCGTAAAGGCACAGGGAAAAAGAGTATACACACGTATCGCTCTGGCTGGGCAAGGACAGCACGCAACTTTCGAAGCTATCGTCAATTATATTGGCCCAAAAAAGAAAAGGGGGATCATCAGTCAGGTAAAGCTAAAGTTTAAAAAGTGATCAAAAGAAATACCAAGAGGGGGGCTTGAGGCGCTAAGCATGTGCACACCTTTTTAGTACATGGTTGTTGGCTCAAAATCAGCCACTTAGCTGAGTTCTTAGATTAACTTATCTTTAAGTAATTTTATGTTGTACAAACTAAACATATAAGAAGAGTTTTAATTTATCTTCTTAAAGCATAAGAATGCTCTTTTTTATTTCGGTTGCTTCGAAACACCCACTGGACGCGGGAAAACAATGAAGCTTCACCCTGGGTATGATACGATAGTGACAGATTACGAATCTCATTTCGGCTGCACGCTGCCATTAACCCAGACTCCGTAAATAATTGAACCGGCTCAGTGGTGTAATTTACTTTATTATGGTATTCGATCGTGATAAAGAAAAAATTGCAGATAATTTTTTGCATTCCTCACTAGTAGTATCACATCAAATTTCTATTATTCCTTAGTAATGATATGACAAACATTTAGCTATTGTTGCTTCATTTGCAGATTGAGGTTGTTGCCTTCTGGCAGCCCCTTTTGGGTCTGGTCTGATGGTTTCTCCTTATTGACATCTTTGTGGGTTTAAAGGCCCATACGTAGATCGATCCAATAGCCCAATATAGTAATTAAGTCGTTCCAGTGCAGAAGGATTTGCACCAACAAAAGCCTTGGCCCAGCATTTAAATAATCCAGTGAGCTTGCGTATGAGGAATTTTCAGGGGTACGCTAATCCAACCTCATAAGTCATGAATTTGAATACTCTTAAAATTAGTGTCAATTCTTTTATATGGAATTTAAAAATTGAGCCACACCATTAACTACTTCTAAATAATTAATTATGTTATTGATTCAAATTTTTACATTTTATGTAGATATTCCCAGTCTACAAAGTTTTAATATGGCTGTCTGTGCGAACCCTTGAAATTAATCGATGAAATTACAGGGACACCAATCGTGAGCCACAAACAAGAATAGAAGGTAACGAAGTTACCTTACAAAAAAAACCAATATTTGTTTCCTAATTTCGGTAGAGAGGTGTAAAGTTTTTGTTTCCTTTTCTTTTTTTTGGGGGGGGGGGGGAATGGTAATACGTGAGGAACTGATAAACTATGCAAGCGAATGAAGCGATGATCAATTTTTGAAAAAAACAAAAAAAACCCAGGCAGTAGCTGTTTTACCCTGAAAAAAAAAAAAACTCGCGTCTTCGCGACATCGGGGCGACTGGGACGGTCCTGGCGAGAGCCGAAACAGGGTTAACACATTTTCTTGTCGGGTTCGTTTCAGGACCGCGACTTGCAGCAACTGTGCCCCTCCTGGATCCTGGGCATCGATTTGCAGCAATGAATAGCGCTATGAAATCGGCTCTGGTTAATTCAAAAAACAACTATATGTCTCTCAGGGCTGCGCTCTTTCATTCCACTCCCGTCTTGGAACGTAAGAGGCGAAATCATTGGGTTAGTTTCTCTATTGCCTTTCTTCCTGAATCTCCTGTCTATGTTTTGCTTTCTCATTGCATGCCTAGTTTCGAATAATTAGTAATTGGTGAACACCTCTTTCTTTTTAACATATGCAATTATGCGCCATTGAGTGGGAGATTATTTGCTCTAGAATTGAGATTAAATTCATCTTCTTCCGCTACTTGTTTTTCTTTCCTAGTATCTTCTACCATCTTAGGCTCTTGTTGAATGAGAACTGTGTTGGACTGAACCTGTTTGATTGCAGAGATTCAACCACTATTCAAAAAGATGTAGAAGGATTCATGCTAAACAGACATTATTGCGCAATATCAATTCTTATGCAGACTTCCTGCTTCAGGTTCACGATTCCGTTATCTCATCTTATTCTTACGCTTCCCCTCCCCTCAATTGATTCTTTTACACTTTTTATTTAACATTTGAGGTATGCTTCAATAACTTGTTATCGGGTGCCATTAAATAAGATAAGAAGAGTGGTGGATTCCTTTGTACTTAGTTTTTAGAATCTACTACAATATGGTAATGGGATTCTCTCTGGAGCAGACTTTTGTAGGATTCAGGTGTTGGATCATTGCATGTTGAAAACCTTTACCAAGTATATACCTCGTGTGCTTGGGCCTACTCTTCATTACCGGGCTACTTTCCCTTAAAAAATTGTTTGAGGAGGTACTACGTCAAGGAAAAGCGTTTCTGTATTTTTCTTCTCGGTAACTACTTACGCTATGCCGTTATTCCTTTTGTTGATGATCAGACAGAAATAATAGAAGTTATGGTCAATTGGTGTAACATACCTGAACAATCCAGTTGACGATGATGATGTTTTGCATCTTTCGGAACAAATGGTTAAAATAAAACTTCTTAAAGTTGGTTATGTTTCTGACCATCTAGCGTGGAATTTGGGAGTTGGGAAGCCCTTGAGAATAATAGTATGGTGTTTCAGCCGGTGGAGAACTAGTTAAACGTTATAATTAGTGGTTCTTGAGGATCCTGCGTTCTTATAGCTTTGCTGATAATTCAGTTTTCACCCCAATGAATGCTTTCAATACTTAAGTCCTCCAACCTCCTTTTGGACCTTCGCCTATATTTTTAATTTTTTTGGCATCTTTATGATGAACTTTTTTATTTCTTAACTGAAAAATCTGCCAATCCTATCCAAACCAAACCATACCGTAATTGAGAGAAAACATGTTTGAAGTATTATTTGAACAAATGATGCAGGACCCTCTTTCTCTCCTAGTTGCCCGCTTTTGCTGTATTCTGCTCCTGGTTATTTCAAATTTTCATAATGCCTTCTTCTGCAATTACAATTTTACCTGAGTAAATTCAGTGTCTAAACACTCAGTTCTGGAAATGTGACAATTGTGGCAGTTGTAATGTCTGGAATATTGCATATTGTTTCCTTTTACCAGTGTGACGCGCTATGATGCTATTTTACATGAGTTGTTGGCCTTCATTCATCCATGGTTTATGAAACTACTTAGTCCTTTGTATGATTGGGAGCTTGAATCAATTCTCTCTGCCTTGCCATTATCAATCGTGGCTGGTGCGATATTGGTGATTCTTTGGTATCACTAATTTGAGAGGCTGACCTCTCTCTATTCTCTTGGTCATATGCATAGATGAGGTTTCTTCTTGCTTCTTTTTCTGTTTCTTAATTTACTTAAAATGCTCCTTTGCCTTTTCCCTCTGCATGTTGTAGAGCTGGAAGGATGAGATTGATGACGATGATCCATCTTCAAGTCAAGGCACCTCATGGTTTAGGAAAGAATATTCTGCTGGGGGCCGTGGAAGGAGCAGAAATGCCAATAAAGAGTCGCGGTATTATCGCAGAAGTAAGGGAGTTTAAAATAGTTGTGCTGTAGAAGAATACCATATTCTGCAGATGCATGCATTTATTCACTACGCTTGTAATCTCTTTCAGGAAATTCTGATTCTGATTTTCCTGAAGAAGATTTTGACGTTGAAACCATTTTCCGCTCTGCCTTTGGTGGGAACCGATTCTTTTATTATTCCTTCATCAATGAAGAGAATCCTCAGTGGAGGAGGTCAGGACGCTATTATGACTACAGCAGATCTTGGAACTGGAGTGAGGAGGATGAATATTATGACTCTTCTACCGAGTCTGACAGCTCGGAATCAAATTTAGCTTCAGATAGGTTAGCCCTTGGTTTGAGTGCCCATGGTCCTCTGAAACCTGAAGATGTGAAAAATGCGTGAGTTCTTGACACCTACTTCCATTTCCTCCATCCTGAAGTGTTCATGGGAACCAGGGCTGCTAGTTTTTCTCTTATCTTGAATTCAACCGGTTTTATGATGTCAGGTACCGGTCCTGTGCCCTGAAGTGGCATCCAGATCGTCATCAAGGCTCTTCCAAGGTGTTTATAACTTGAAGCTATAGTCTTTATCCTTAACATCGTTCAATGGACAGGTCTCTCAGGTGTTTGGCTTCCTAATCTTTTGTTTGCTTGCTTTGATAGGTAATAGCAGAAGAGAAGTTCAAAGTTTGCAGTGCAGCATACCAATCTTTGTGTGATAAGTTGGCCATAAATTAAGAACGCATCTGACACGCATGCTAGTTCCTTTGTACCAGTATCCAGCTCATGGCAGTTTGTTTGGCCTTTGCCAAATCAGCACAACCTGCTTATTTAAGTTTTCTACTTTTCACTTTTGAGTAGTTCAATATTGAATTGAGGAAATAAGTTTACGCCATGGTAATGGCAACGGAACAAGCCAAATTTTTTACGAAATCGTGTATCCTTAGTTCATTGTAATTTTCATTCTGCTAGGTGCCAGTAAAGGTTAGTAACCTATCGTGGTTTTAATTTCCAGTTCAATCGACCTGTTTATTGTAAATCTGTGCCCCTCGTTTGGGATGCTTGACCAAGAGGCGTTTCTATTTGAACACTCATTATATTTATAGGGAAAATCTCAAAAAAAAAAAAACTTTTAAAAGACTGATTTGAAGTTTTAAAATTTAAATGTATTTTTTTTAGACTCTGCTGTGTTTATATTTTATTATGCAATAATAATTATGTGTTGTTGTTGTTGTTATTTTCAAAGCTAAAACTACCAAGAACATTTCATTTTTTTTTATTTCTTTTTTTATTACAAAATTTTAGGTAGAGGTTTAGATTCAACCCAAACCAAGGGCAGGGAGGTTTAATGGTTCTTTTTAGGTGATACCAATGTTGGGTGGGGTGAACTTATAATATACTTTGACATGTTAACCTAATATTGAGTTATTCTAAGATGCCTTTTAAGCGTCGTGATGAGGAATCGAATCCCCTCCCTTTTGTTTTGGATGAAAAGATGTGGTTCTTACAGCTGAACTTATAGACGATGGATAAGAACATTTTATTTATTGATAAGATTTTTTAAATTATTTTTTGTTTTATTTTTTCTTATTATATTTTAAGCCCGGATAGCTATATTAAACATGATTACCTTGACTATAAAAGTGTTTGTTTTAACTTAAAAACATATTTTCATATAAGTCAAAATAAAAAAATTTTCACATGCTCATTTCATGTATTGTAAAATTAATTTTAATTTATGATTTAGTTTTTATCTAAATATTTTTTACAATTGAAATGGTGTAAAGAGAAGATCGCTGTAACTAATTAATTCATTTAAGGTTTTTTTATGCAGATATTTAGAAATAAGTGGCAATTCTACTTAATTCAAATCTTTAGCTCCTAATTTTTGGTAAAATAGCTCTTAGCTCCTAATTAGGGATTTTTTGTCTTACTCTCGTGTCCCTGTTGAGATTTTTTTTTTTTTTGCGGTGAATCTTGTTGAGATTTTATTTGTGGGTTTTCTTCGTTGACTTTTTTTAGATGTGGGATTCAATTCATTTAAGGTGAAAATAAATTGTGCACTCTAAACAATGAATAAAGTTTAAAAATTAGAATATTAATTATTCAGGCCAAAAAAATGAAAATATTAATTCGGCCTAAAATGGGTTTCTTTTTTAGATTTAAAAGCCGCTTCGTATTTGTAAATTTTTATGATGATACTTCTAACCTTTAAGGTAACTGATGCCTCAGCATTCCTTTGTTGACTGGGACTGGGAGATGGTGCAACGAAGTGTCGAATATAACTTGATCTTCCCGAAGGATGATACTTGATGCCATATCTCCAGTGGCGGCGGCTACGCGTCTAAATATACGGTGCTGATTTCTATTTTTGTTCGCGTTTGTCCTGTTGTTTTAAAATCATCTCCCTTCCTTCGTTGGTACTGACCTGTTTCCGTTTTGGCCGCAGCTTTATCCTCTTGTAATCAACGCTGCGTTTGTTGTTCTGTTTCAACCTGAAACCCCTTTCGATTCCTTCAATTCCAAAGAGCCTTCCTTGACTTGAGAAGTACACTCCCGAATCACCGATATCCTTCCCTTTTCTGTTTCCTTTGACTTCCTGCCTTCTCCATAGTATTGTGATGAAAATTCCATGCTGATCTGCATTCCTCATTCTCTCCGTCTAAGTATTCCCTCTTCTGTGTCCCAACATCCTACGATCAATGGAGACTTCAGATTCGTACCACCCCCGGAGCTCTCTAAATGGGGATTTTGGGTTTGGTGCCAGTGATCGGAGATTCGCGTTCTCCCGCCAAGCTTCGCTCAAACAATCGCAAGAACCTCACTCACCTGTTTCATTCCCTTTGAACAATTCCGGAAGGCCTTTCCTTTCCCGGACTGACTCCAGCATAGACATTCCTCGGGGCCATTATTGGTCAGGCCAAGGTCACTACTTTTCTGAGGAAAAGTCCCCGGAGAAAGTCTCTTGGTCCTCGTTTATTTTCTCTGCTTTTCGAAACATTAGGTCTGGGCATAGATATATGAAGAGATTATTTTTTATGATTTCCCTGAATGTAGCATACTCCACCGCAGAGCTATTCATTGGCCTTTTTACTGGGCGTGTAGGTAAGGCCATTATTGTCTCATAATGGGTTAATAATTGCTTTGTACAACTATGCACCTTTCCGTTAAATGTTCGTCAAAATGTGTGCAAATGATACTCCTTGCTGGGCTGCTATTCTGCTATTTAAGTATCATACAAGGCTTTTGATGCTTTGAGACTGTGCTTCTCATTCTTGATAGCCTCAACAGAAGTATGAATTTTATACTTTATAATTTGGTAATATTAAGAGTTTGACTTCAATTGCGGATTTTACACTTTAAATTTCTCAAATCTTTCGCAAGTAATTCATAGACATGATTTGTTGCTTTAACAGCTTTTCCAATATCCCCTTTTCTTCCTCCATAGTGAGCAAAATGATATGTATTCTACATAAAACCATTCCCGTGGCCCCAGTTTGAAAGTCGAATCTCAGATGACTTCTGTTTCCGCTTTTTATACGTCTGCTTTCAGGTTTGGTGTCTGATGCATTTCATTTGACTTTTGGATGCGGTCTTCTGACATTTTCACTATTTGTTATGGCCGCCTCAAGGAAGAAGGCTGATGGAGATTATACATATGGGTAAGTCTGCTGTTTGACAATCCTCGGAATGTGCAGTATTTGTGGTTCGGGTACTCAGCTATGTCGGTTTCCTAGCCTTATCAAATATTTTCATGTAGGACAGATCATATCTTTTGGAGTAGTTATAATATAATATCCTGCTGGTCAAAAAAGAAAAAAGTTATAATATAATATCCTCATGAGGGTAAATTATACTGATATTTTTCTTGTTTAAAAAAATGTTTTATGTCTCCCTTAACCTTTGATATATATTACGGAGATGTTCCTTCCAATTTTTCTTTGAATAGGACTAACTTACTGCACAATATGCCATCTCTCCAAAGATAAATTTGATTATTTTTCTGTCATATAAAGGATTTAGCCGAAGACTTTAGTTGGATCTTAATATCGACTTAGTTGCTTTTGCTGTCATATTAAGAAATCAGAGTCTCATGTCATGACAAAAGTAAGTTGTAGTAGAGGTTTTGTAATATATGTTAAATACTGATGATCTTCCGAAAAAGGGGTATTAGGTGTAATTTAGCCAGATTTTCTTGTTATTACATCTGATCTGATGTATTGAAAAATTATTTAATGAATGAAATAGTTAAGCTGCATGTTGTGTACAGTCCCAATAAATAGGAATCGACTTATGCTTACCAAAAAAATGAGAGGAAAAAAAGGAGCTACTGCTCAGCTTTTGGTGTCAACAGCCAAGCAGTGGAATATGGTAGGCATTGAAAGTTTGAAACTGCTTTGGCCAAGTTAATGTGATTCTAAGGAATTAAGATATGTTCACACTTGGTATAATTTAAGTGGAAGGATACGATTATATCCATCAGCATCTATGTTGTTGTGTTACTTTTGTAGTTGTTTTACTTTGAAAAGGTGGTTTCTTCTGATATTTCCATTAAAGAATGTATAAAATTTATTTGCTGATATGTATGATGAATTCTATTTTTTGTAAATATTTTTCACAATTTGGCCTGTGCCCTGTTGTGAGTTCTTACGTCCTCCTCATTAGTGCCACCTCTGGAAAAGCAATTGTATAGGATACGCATGAACATGTCCATATATACTGTGCGTATTCTCCTTGAATCAAACTTTAAGAGCTAGCTCTTACACTTTGAAATTCTCTAAACATGAAAAGGATGAGTATTTATATTGAGTGGGTTTCCTTTGTATTCAGTTGAATTGATTAATCAGAATGCTAATCAAGATGAAAGGTGGATATAAAACAAATTCTGCGGGAAATTCGTATTCTTGCTTGTGACACAAAATGATATGAGTTTGTGTTTGTCTCAATTACTTGGATAGCCGATGCTCACATGCCAGAACTTGTCCCATGTGTAGATGACAGATTCATGGATTTCCGATTACTGCTGTCTGTCAGTATTTCTGAGTTACTCACTATCCTCTAATTTCAGGTATAAAAGGCTTGAAGTTTTGTCTGCATTTACAAATACTGTAAGTATTCGAAGTATCCTTTACAACTAGAGTTTTCAACCCTGCATCAAAGTAATCAAGGTACAGAATGATGCTTCTGTAAAACTCATGGGGGTTAATGCAAAGTAATAGTATGCACATTTCAGATGCTAAAAGAGGATTTTTACTGGAATCCCCCCCCCCCAAATGAGTTGTAAAAAGTACAAAATTTGCATATTTGCTATGTGGATGCTTTCCACCTTAATCTTGGACTCTTGGTTAGTCTTGCTGAGGGTGTTGTTTTGCGGTTGAAATTCTAGTGGTGTTGTTGACGTGTTTGATTAGGTTTGGGTAATTTAATATTCTCAGTCATCAGATGAACTGATGAACCGGAAAATTTAGTTTGAAAGTTTGTTTTTGCCTTACGTAAATCAATTATGAAGGTCAAAAGCATTACTTGCACTTCTCATTCCCTCTGTTGATTTGCGCTAACATGTTGAACCTTCTCATTTTGTCTGCTGCATGTGTAGACAGCTGTTTCTTCTGTTTATGTCATTTTCTCTAGCGGTTGAAGCACTTCACGCATTCATACAAGATGAATCGGAGCACAAGTAAGTTTGTGTTACCAATGACTGTCGCATTTTTTGTATCACATTTTATATAGAGATTCAGCATGGAGAAGAATTTGTATTTTTGCAAGTAATAATATCCTCAGTTTTTTTTATTGATGGTTGAGTTCTATTTCATGCATATTAGGAACTCAAGATACTTGTTATAGCTGTTAAGTGTTAGCATTTTCATTCCTCTGGATGTCTGAAAATTTGATCATGCTTAACTGTAAAAATGTGTTTTTCGTTTGGAAAATAATGCATGGCTCTAGACTGAAAGACTTTTTTAGCCATGATTTGCGATCTATTGTGCTCATGCTTCATAAACCTGTCGGTAATTAGTTGACTTATGCTACATACTTTGTTCTATACGTGTGTTTTACTTGTGATCTTTTCAAACGTAATATGTTTAAGACATGCTTAATTGTATTGTCTGCAAGAAAATGGAGAGAAAACCCATCCGTGTGAAACCATTAAACCATTACGGGATCTTTTGCCTGAGTGCTAATGTATTCAATTTTTATACCCAAATAATTGCAAATTTGTTTCTCTGGTAGGAATTTATGGTTCTTAGATTTTATTATTTTCTTCAATATCTGCTGATGCTGATAATGATCTGCTTGTAGGCATTATTTGATTGTTTCAGCTGTGACCAATTTAGTTGTGAATCTCATTGGCGTATGGTTCTTCAGGAATTATGCCCGGATTAATCTTAGTGAGTATCTCCTGGACCCTCTATTCTTCTATTCTACTGTCTACCAGCCTTGAATGATGTTTCTCTATTTCAATGGGATGGCATATATTGATGGGTGATTGAGGCTTGAGTCATCTGTTTCTCTTGGAATTTTGCTTGCAGCTTATAGAAATGCTGAAGATATGAATCATCATTCAGTTTTCCTGCATGTTCTAGCAGATTCTATTCGCAGGTGGATACGCTAGGTCTCTATATGGACATCACTGTGTATTTGAATTTCATTCCTTTAGTTCGTTCATTATTATTAACATACTATGGTGATTTCTCAGTGCAGGTTTGATATTGGCATCCTGGTTACTGTCCATTGGGTAAGCACCTTGTTTTTCAGACCCAGATTATTTTGCAATGAAGTGTGTGTGTGTGAGAGAGAGAGAGAAACACACACACACACCGAGAGAGAGAGAGAGACCGGGGGGGGTCAGGGCTCAATTGTTTTTTCTTCTGATTTCTCTAGATTCTGTAATTTCTTTACCATTCTCTATAGGGTGCAGAATGCAGAAGTCTTGTGTTTGGGACTAGTTTCAGCTGCGGTTTTTACGCTAGTCCTGCCACTCTTTAGGACAACCGGTGGTATCTTGCTTCAAACGGCACCTCCTAGTATTCCAACTTCTGCTATGAGCAAATGTTTGAGACAGGTTATTACCCTAGTTTCTATAAGATAAAGTATGCTACGAGACTGATTTTAGCTCCCCCCCCCCCCCGGGCCCGGGGGGTGGGGTTGCTTAAATGTAAGCAGGTTCTTTCTGTTTTAACAATTCCAACTTCTTGTGGAAAGGGTGAAAAGCTATATTTTGCTCTCCGTAATTTATGATCTTTAAATTTAGTTTTCATTTGACTATACCTATTGGCGCTTTAATGCTTCGTGTGTGCGCGCGCCCTCATATTAAATGCTTCACTTTTTTTAATATCTTTAATTTTCTTTAGATAACTGCTCGGGAAGATGTGCTGGAAGTTTCACAAGCTCGTTTTTGGGAGTTAGTTCCTGGTCATGTGGTTGGTTCGCTCTTGATTCAGGTAATTCCCCCATTAACTAAAAATAGGACTAAGCTAGTGCTTAATTTGATGTTAAAAACCAAACTATATCTGACGTGAATCCAAACACGCACTAAAGCAAGTTAACGACGTATGTGGATGCACATGCTCAATTTCATCCTTTCGAGTTTCTGTTGCTGAAGTCTCACTCTAGTTATGGTTGGCGCAGGTGAAGAAAGGGGCGGATGATCGCCCGTTACTAGGACTTGTGCATGGCCTCTACCATGAACTGGGCGTGCAGGACCTTACGGTGCAGACTGATGATACATGAGCGTCTCATATTCATGGATTTCTGCAAATGATTACAGACCATGGATTGCTTTTATTTATTTATTGTCATCGCTCTGCTGGTCAAAGAACAGTGACTTTATTTCTCATAGAAAAGGGATAAGTGAATTTTAGAAAAGAATTACTCTGTCACAGGGAATATCCATTTCCTTCCCCTCCACAGTTAAAAAAAAAAGGGAGCTAGGCATGAAAACTAGGGCCTCTGCTGAATAAGAATGTTAATGATCATGGATACTTGTCAATTACCAATTTACCATAGATCTGATCTGTTCATGTTAAAATAGATGGTGTGCTATCTTATTTTTCACATTTTTTAAATACTTCTATTCTAGTAAATATTAAGTATTACTCGTATCATTTTTTAACATGACTTTAATAAATATATATTAGCATGAGTCGCCGATTGCCATTGTTCGTGGAAGGTCTTCGGCAATGGCTTCTCAAATCTTACTCCCACTGAGAATTTGGAGCTTTACTCTCCCTTTGTCCGTCACACGTACCCTCCCTTTGTTAAGCAGTCTGAAGTTAGCTGTAAGGTGTCCTTGTAAAGAAATTTTTTTATGCCATAGTAAAGAACTATTTTTATGATTTAATGATCACGCAGTTATAATATCAATGTAAAAATGACTCATTTTTCCTATTCTTCTAACCCTTCCAATTTCCAATAGTACATTATTATGACCGTTTGAACGTAGCTTTTTATTTTCTAGCACCATTCATTGTTCAGATCAATATCTGGTTATCTGCCTTCATTTTCCAATGTTCTTTTTCCTCCATCGCTCGACTCGCTCCAGTCTTGAGTTTCTTTCCTTGCGTGCAACCATGTAATTATATTATTAGTGTACGTAATCTAATCATGATTTATTTCCAAACATGAAAGTCAAACGATCGCACGCAAAAAAAACGTTCTTTTCCAAAATTAAATTAGCATCCGATAATTCTCAAAATTCTGATAACCTGGGGGTCAGCGAAACGCGTGATGTGCTTGTAATCATGTGTTGTATATAGAAGTCAACTGGATTTTGATGGTACTGTTTGTTGTTAATCTCATATGACAACTCATGTATAATCATCTAGAAAACGACTTTAGGTAAGAAAAAAGCGAGGCGCAGCCATTGAAAGGGGAGAGGGCGTACAGATTAGATGATAACGAAGATAGATAAATTATTAAATTTGAATCTGAGAAATATTTGAGTACAATCAATTATATGCAGAAGTTGACTACGCCTTTAAGCAGTTAAGCTGACCTAACCGTTCCGCCCGAAGAAAAACAATTTACAGAGTGAAGAAGAAATTTGTGTCAAGCACCTATCATACTGTTGTTTGGTGGTTATTTAATTACAGCGATACGATATCTGCCAAGGTACGAGAACAAGAACCATTGCGGGGTAATTACGATGATGATGATCATCTGCCGGTGAGCTGAGTGAAGGGAGGAGTGAGTTGGGCCGAATTAATGGAGTTATCATTGACGTTGAAGGAAGGGGGAGCGGCCGGCCACACAAAAGCCGGCCGTTCCCTCGGGACCTCCGGCGGAGCCACCTCGCCTGTCAGGACCTGCAGTACTGTCTTCATGGATGGCCTTTTGTGAGGATTGGGATGGCAACAAGCCAGGCCTAGCACTATCACTCTTTCCACTCGTTCCTCGTCTTCCTCTATCTCCTTCTTTATTCTCCTATCCACTCCGTCTAGTGTTCTTCCATTCCCATACATCTCCCACACCCAGTACACTATGCTATTCTTGTAGTCGTTCTGAACACACATGTTCCCTGGCCTCTTCCCACAGACTACTTCCATTATCAGAACCCCAAATGCGTACACGTCTGTTTCCACTGTTGCCCTCCCTGTCAGAAACGTCTCTGGGGCCATGTAACCTGGCGTTCCTGCTATTTCTTTCGTGGAATGGTGAGTCTCATTTCTTTTTTGGATGGTTCGAGCCAATCCAAAGTCTCCCAGCTTGGCATTGAAGTCTGAGTCCAACATGATATTGCTGGCCTTGATGTCCCTGTGAATCACCTTCTTGTCGCAGCCGTTGTGAAGATAGTCAAGGGCTTCAGCCACACCGTATATCGCACTGCATCTGGTTTCCCAGTGAAGGTTTTGATATGGTGATCCGTCTGTGCTGCCGAATAGGTATTTGTCTAAGCTTCCATTGGGCATGAACTCGTAGACGAGTAGGAGTTCTTTTCTCTCATAGCACCACCCTGTGAGTTTAACCAGATTCTTGTGGTGAAGGCTGCCTATTGTCGTGACTTCTGCTATGAATTCTTGCTTCCCTTGGCGTGAATCCTTGGAGACTCTCTTCACGGCGATCTCCCTGTTTCCCAGGATTCCCTTGTACACTTTTCCGAAACCACCTTCCCCCAGCTTGTTCTGGTCGTTGAAATTGCTCGTCGCCTTTTTCATTTCCCTCAGCCGGAACTTCTTTGGAACCATTGAGGAATACTTAATCTGGTCTTCTATCCTCGGATACGCATCCTCTGCTATCTCCCTATTTCGTTTCCACCGCCATATCAAGAAAAATATCACCGCACCGGCGATAACCACCACCACTGGAACTGTGATCCAAACCCATAGCAGTTCTTGATTTCCGTCTCCAATATCTTCACCGTTGAACTCCCACGCTCTGATGCAGTTCAGCTCATTGAAATTACTTGTCGACGCAGAGAACCCCAGAAATACCTTCTCCGGGAGATATGAGGTGAGATTGAGGGGTGGAGATTGCAACAAGAGCTTCATGTCTTGTGCTTTGGCTCCACTCATCATGTAACCGAAGACAGAAATCACATCGTTATCATACTGAATTCTCACGGTCACATTGGTGCCCGATGAAATATTGATCCCCAAGGGAAGTAACGGAACGTGCTTGATGGAGTAAACACTGTTCACGTTGACGCCAACATGACCGTCTGAGCCGTCTTCAGGGGAGTTGCTTCTGGTATCAAACTCCACAGCCAATACGGCTGCACCAGAAGTGCCATTTGTGGAAGAATTCACAACGCCAAGCCATCTTCCATGGCTGTTGGGGGGGAGACTTCTGTCAGCAGCTAGTATGAAGGCCAAACCTTCGCCGGCACCTGGGTTTGAAGGAGTATCGGGGCTGATATTGAGGACGAAGGTGGTATTGAATGATGCAGTTTGGTTCTTCTTCTTGTTCCAAACTCTGTACGCCTTATAGTAGAAGGCCCTCCCGGACCTGTTCCTCAAGTCTTCACCGTAAGCATCAGGTGTCACTTGGATGGCATCTCGGAATATACGCGAAAACTCACTCAGTAGTATTAATCCATTCTGATCTTCTTGTTTGAAGGTGGGGAAATTGAAAGAAAAGCAGTCAACTTGGATATGGCCGAGGATACTGATGAAGATGACTGCTAAAAGTTGAGGCTTAACCATCCGACAAAACTGCATTCTACAGCTCATTAAACGGACAATATAGCCGTATGCTTTTTGAAGGATTTGCTATAGCAACACAGAAGGTGAGCTATATATGATCCTGTGAGTTACCAGACTGATTGGATGAATGGCAGCGTCGTCTGAGGATTATCGATCAGAGATTGGAGGGCAAGTCTAAAATGGTAATGATGATGGTCAAGCATGCTTAGCCTGTTCCGTTATGCATTATATGTATTTATATATTTTATATACAGCAATCAAAACAGACTTGATTCATCAATGGGAAGTTTCCTTGCTCTTGATGAGCCTTCTTATTTTCTATATGTTATTCAGAGGTGGAATATATTTTAGAGCTAGAGACTCGGTCATAATGCTAGAATGTTTACTACTCTTCTATATCATGCCCAACCAGCAAGTTAATTATTTAAGTCATAAACTAATTATTTAATTAATACCTCCAATAAAGAAGATAAACTAATCTTTAAGTCATAAATTATTTCCTACCGCACTCGTGGCCGCGTCACGTATATACATCTCTTTGAAGGGCAAGAAGATTGGGAGTTTTTTTTTTTTTTTGGGCCTTAGAAGGCTGGGAGTTCGACTTATGAAACTTCGTCAGAATCTTTAGTGATATGATATTCAAATATGGTTGCCCTCCATCGCCCCGTTCAAAGTCAATATAGAATTATTAAGTAGCGAGGAAATGATGAATGACAAATACATATATTAATCCGTAGTCTAGCGTGCTAGGGCCCGAAATGAGGTTAGCACACGCCAACAAAATAAGTGTTTTTTCTGCGAAACATCGGTTGATGATTGATAAGAAGTCAAAAACTCACAAATCAGAACCAATCCGGCCGCCTTGTTATCTCGTTTTTATTTGATGCATTCTAAAATTGATTATGAATTGTATAAGTGAGCATATTAGCCGTAACTAATGCCAAGAGTCAAATCACACAGTAGGGCGCTGGTAGAGAAAATTAACAATATGTCTATCAACTATGGAACCACATTCAATACTCATCATAGTGATAGTTATCATAATACTTATCAAATTTTAACCATTCAAATTTAATATAGACAGTCAAAATTTAATATTTAACATTTCTGTGTTTTTAAAATATTTTCCTCTTAATAGGTACATAATCCAAAATAAAAACTATCATACATAGCCTTGTTATTGAGAGATATTTGTCTTTAATTAAAATGAGGATTAGACCCCTCGTCCGTGGGTTCAACTGACGAAGGGGTCGGACTCTCTTACCAAAGGGAGGAGGTTCGATCTCAGGGAGTGCCACTTTGTTATGGCTCCAGTCACAGCTCTGGAGGAGGCATCACCACAGCATAGTGAAGCTAAAAGATTCCTACCTATTAGGCCAAAAAAAAGGGGTTTGCTTGTCATGTTCTCATGCCCATAGGGATAGGTCCCAGTGGATCAAACGTTAAGTACCCTGTCCTTAGATTATGGGTGAGCCCAACCCCTTTCCTAAAATTTTTTGTATAAAAAAAAAAAGAGGATTAGAAGCTTGATCCGACAAATGGAAAACAAATTATATTTAGGAACTTTTGCAATGAATAGATTAAATCGTTTTGAAAAAGAAATTAATGATTGTACGTATTTATTAACATTTTTTAAAATTATTCATAAAAATTATTGATTAGAATTATTCAGAACTATACTTTTGTTATTGAGATATATACTAGCTATTGTAAATCGTAAAATATTAGTTAAAATTTCAATTATTAGATATATTAATTCGGATGTTTGTTATTTACGTCTTAAAGTATGGTTTTCTCAAAAGTAATCATGACGATCCAAAGTTAAGAAGTAGAAATTTTAATAATAACGTCAGCTATCTCATGGAATGGATAAAATAATAACATGCTATATAAAATTAAAGTAGTTGATTTCTTAGTTTTTCCTAGATTAAAAACACGGAGAGGAGCGGATAATCAAATATTTGAATCACACTAATTTGGTGACTCCGCCAGAACACTCGCAATATATATATATATATATATATATATATATATATATATAGAAGCCTCCCAATGTTGGGGAGGTTTGTAAATAATGTTCAATCTTAAAAGTTATCTACACGTGTGGGAGCAATATGCATGACAAGGCTCCTCCCATTTACATTTATCCTCTCTAGGATTTATATTTTTCTCTTATCATTTTGAATGTTAATTTAGTTAGTATTTATTGTGGTCAACAATACTTAGAGCTTCTATAAATTTTTTATGTAATTTATAATTTTAAATATAGACCAATTTCTTTTATTTCTAGGCAAAATTAAAATAACTCAACCAGTTTTTCTTAATTTTGATGAAGTGTTTAGATGTGCTTTAGAATAAAAATTAGAAGAGTATATAATTGAGCCAATTAAAGTTACTTATTAGTGTCTCATGTTCGTAGTGCTTTAGTTCATCCCTTCTTGTTATTAGTCAATGGTCTATGATAATTGATAAAAGGCTCCCACCATGACGCAACAAACAAAAGAATAAGCAAACATTACGTAATTTGCCTGTATTTTGGGTCAAATTATACGGATCCAGATCTGCAGGCAGTCTGACCATTGATCGAAGAAGGGTCCATACCACATAGCCAGTCAAATGCATCCTGGTCGTCCATCTGAGGCAAATTTTAGCCGCGGGTTTGGAAGAAGCCCCCAATCACTCTCACCCATGCGTCCTATGCGAGTGTGGAACCCTCTTCGTTCTTTTGTCCGTAGCGATCTTCCAATTGTCACGTTCTTCTTATTGCGCACCTGGACTGGGACTGAATAATGATAATTGTGGTCCTGAAGCATCAAACGGTGCGCTTCCAATTCCGAGCTTGATGGGCTGCTCCAGATGGATCCGGCCACCTGTTTATTAACTGCACGAGGTTCGGCAACACAATGGATCCCTCTGCGCCACATGCCAATCGCCTTGTTCACAGTTCACAAATCTAGGCGTGCCTACAGTCCCAGTTAGTTAATTAATTAATTAACTGATGCTATTTCCCGCCGGACGTGCTATATCAGGGTATCCCCAGGAATATACTACCTCTGGTGGTTCTAATTATAATTATAAGATCTTATTTATAATTTACAAATAAAATCTTATAAATAGATCCTAATACGATAGAAGTAAATCATTTTATAGATAAGTGGGCGCCATACAGAACTGAGTTTTCTGGCTCTTCTTCTAAAGTCATCACACTCACTGTGGTGCAGTTGGAGCTGATATATGTGAAACAGACATGGTCTGCCCCTAGCTTTTATAGGTGCATCAACTTAAATATCATGAGAAAAATAAAGGTTAATTAGTTCAGAGAAGGAAGCTGGGTTCAAAGTAGCGAGTTCTCCTGCTTCCTCACTTTTCCATGCTTTATTTCACCCAACCCATCGTACAAACGTTCGAGTCGGGAATCCGAATACGCCTATGTAATTTGCTTTTCAGTTGATCATTAATCAACATAATTAAATAAAAGGGTTTGTCGACCCAGGATATATTTTAGCCAGCCAGTAATATACAGTGTATAGCCGCTGCAAGTTGGCCCCAAAAAAAAAAAAAAAAACCCTACAAAGCTTGTAAAAGACGCAACATTAAAGTCTTCTAGGATCACGGCATAATGATTAAATTATATTGATATTAAAAACAATTTATGATTAAGAAATTACAACTACAAATTACAAAGATATCTCGTATACATACCTGTTGGCCAAGTTCAATTTTCACGTAAAAAATAATGGCTGTTCTTTATGGATGTCACCAAATCTCAGTGGTCGCTCCTGTTATGATTGAAGTGCGATTCGCATTGAGAGAAGTAAAAACTTGTAAAGCATCCATAAGTTTAGCAAGCTAGATATAGGAAGCCTCACAAGACAACAGATTAAATAATCAAAAAGAGGAAGAACACGTTGAAACCTGCAGAAGTATAAAAAAGGAGCACTCACAAAGAAATCATCAGCAGAAGCATAAATATCAGTGAAGAGAACGAAGACGAGCGAAGAAGAAGGAGAAGGAGGAGAACTTACAAATTAAAGGGGCATATATATGTCTGTTGATGAATTTGGATCGCGAGAGGGAAGATCGGAGAAGGAAATGCGTGGGCAGATCCGATCCAGGTGAGAGCGACCCGTATCGTGGTGGCCGGCGTGTTGATGATCTGTAAATCAGAGGCGGAACAGGATACGAGTTTCTCTCACCCGGATCGGAAATGACCAGAGACGAAGGGGCGGCGAATTCAAACTGGGTGGTCCTGGCCACCTCACAATTCCCTCTCACAGCCGAATGCTTATCTCTTTCGAGCGCCTGATAGACTTATAAAGACAAACGCATCCCCCGCTAATACTATAGCCGACATGCTTGAATTGAATGAACACCCGTTCGGGCTTCTCCCCCATCGTCAATGATATACTACTTAGCATCAACATCGCCAATTATGAGAACCACATGTTAATTTTATAATTGCTGTGATACCCTTCCTTAGGATATAACAAATTACAGAACAACCCCACAATCCCTGTTGTTCTGATGAGCGTGAGACGTGCTTTTTGTTTGTTTGCTTTGCTGGCTTCATATTATATCACCATGTGACGTCATCACTACTTCTCAGCTCCAATCACTCCTTCCTACGCGCCTCTCCTCTCTTCTTATCCTCACCCTTTCAGGACTTTACAATCACTGCTCGGTGTGATAAATGTTACCCGCAAGCATTTGTTTTGTATATCCTTGTTTTATTATTATTGGTGTCACTTGTATGACCTTGTGTAACTAATTTTCTTATTGATGATTTATCGGAATTAAAGTCCATCCTACCCTACTTTCAATGTGATTTTAGAATTTTACTCCCCTTGTTTTAGTTATAGGACTGACAGACTAAAATATTACACGAGAAAAATATTAAAAGTGATTTATAAATAAAATTAAAAGAGTATTTTTTATTCTCGTTCTCATATTGAATTAAACAGAAGCTAAGGTGGTGCGCACAACTTTTAAGCGCTCGCTTGGCTGGTAAAATATTTATACCAAGTGTTAGGATTTAACAAAAACGAAAAAGATATGCCGAGATATTTAATGAGAATATTTAATTTAATTAAATAATAGTAAATTAATTAGTATTTAATTTAATATTATAGTTAACATAGTTTCAACTTAATAGAAGATCATATTTAAAATCCAAATCTAAGACAGTTTATCTTATCATGAGTGTGATTGA